TGAATTTTCCTTTGAGTTACAAATGAGCCTGCAATCACATATTACAGTCCTCTGAATTTTCTCTCCAACACTGAGGACAAAGAACTGCTTCACACATGTATTACCTCAACACAAATTAGATTAAGACCAGGTACATGTACATATCTTGAGACTTACAAGCTGAGCAAATTCATTTCTTTTGTGCTTCGTAGAGCTCCAAGAAATTAACAGCGGGTTGAAATTATTGTCTTTACCATTTTTGTAGCTGTGCTTCTCAAATTTTTGAAATCCTCTTCAATGTCCCTCCGTTCCTCTCTTTGCTGTGTCTTGCCCACAACCTTCAGTGCCTTTAGGTACTTCTGAACTTTTTCCTTGTTGGGATGGAAGGCAGTGAATGGTTCCTGGTGTGAACAAAGCACAGAACATGAGGCATGTAGGATGTTTTCCTGTGATGTTTCTGTTGGTACATGTAGTTTCATGGAAACTCCTGGGCCCAATTTCATGGTGCTACTGAGCACACGATTTTATAAACACAGAGTTTCTGTGTATTTCATGAAGACCACAAGCAGTAAGCACGGCAAAAGGTGTGCTTACCTTTTAAAAATTTGCTTAACATAGTGACAAAACAACTGAAATTTTTATGCACACATAACCATAAGCACAGCCACGCCCAGCACCGCCATGAGTTAATGCTTGCAGTGAGCGAAATTTTCTGTAAAAGCAGCATCATGACATTGGGCCTAGGATAAAATCCATCGATACTACACAGGACTACATGTAACTCTTCATTGGACACTGAGCAAAAGTGGCTGGGATGTACAGGTGCCTGTCTTCACCCTACAAAATCCTCTAAACCTCCTAATGGATTTTGAAGGGTCTGGGAGGGTTAGTAAAATAGAAATGGAGGGACTGAACATCAAAACGGACACTGACACACAGGTACATGTATGTACTTCACCAGACAAAAAGAAACAGATACATGTATTTGTTAAAATGCGGCTGCTGTCTTAGGCTGGACTGATGAAGAAGTTAGAGGGCGTGACTTTCAAAAGTCGGTCCCACCCCCGGGGCTGTGTCATAATTAAACCTGTTTCTCTTAAGTATTCCATGCCCACTAACACATAAACAATGGTAAGAATAATGAAATATACCCAATTTCTGAAACTGGGGTTTTGTATCCAGAAACTGACCATTTGCTTCCCAGTCCTGTATTCTAAACATCTACAAAGTCATGTTATTATCATTGCTCACCATTTTTCAAACAAATAAGTTCATCTTGTAGAAATCTCATACGTTAGTGGTACAGATAATGCATGAGAACAGTATATGAATGTATTTTGAATCAGATTAACGTTGATGAAAGCCTTCAGTTTGACAGAAATCTCTCTGACTTTGGGCTTTCAAACTGGTCATAAAACCTACATGAACCAGTATGTGCAATACGTGCTAAAAATGGTATCATTATAAGACAAGGGCTTAAAATAGCACCCTCCTTTTCCTAGAATGTGTGTATTTTCTCAGTAGCCTTAGCAACCACAGGGTTGTGGGTCACTACCATAATGAAGGTTGACTTTGGAGTTCATTATCACAATGTTCACATGTATCACAGATATCGTAAATCCACTGACAGAGTAATGTTGGATGACAGTTATTGGGTAATCTTCCTCATCACTCATCGTGGCACAGACTATCAGGCAACTTAGATTGGATAAACTTCTTTATGCATTTTGTCGGTAATGTTATTTTCTACAATGGCAACACCATTCAATCTCAATTCTTGATCCCACAGCAGCAGGGGATTACAGGCTTCCAACTGCCGAAGTTTAAATGGCAGCAAAAATTCCATTTATTCATACACATTGACAAATTTGACATTGATTAATACAGTGCTAAATTCCGCTTTTTATTCTGTTCCCAACCACTCAGGATTATTGCTGAAGTTTACAAATCACCATTTGGCCAATGGCAATTATGCAGAGCTGACTTGTAACATAGATGAACCCACAAATAATCTTGGGTCAAGTCTTTGTATTCCAAGTATGCCAGCCTAAACTTATTGAACCATACCAGCAAAAAGGTTGCTCACCCACCTCCTCAAAAAAAGCCCCCAGATTTAAACATGTTACAAAGTACACAATCAATCATGATTTCATCATGCATTGTTGTTTGATGCAATACTGCAACTTGATGAAAGGTCAATGGGATTTGAGGTTGACAAACTTTTGTCCTAAATGTGGCTTACGTGACATTTCAGCTCCATTTGTTATGTTGACATAAACTTAACACACACACTCTTTGGACAGCTCCCTGAGTTACCCTAGCCCTGGCTATTAGACCTATAGTTATTCAACAAGCTTTCCAACTTGAAACATGTCATTTTCAAATTTTGTTTTCTGAAACAGTTTATTTTGTAAACCAACTCTCTACTTTAGATTTATTCACACAGTGTACTCCGTCCCATATAAGTCCCAATCTATCAACCAAGCACATAAACTGTTCTTTTGTGTCAAAACATTCTTGAAGTAATTATATTTTACATGTACCGGTATTTTATCCATTTGTTTTGACCCTTTTGTCCTCCCCTGGAGAGAGCAATTACACAAGCTGTGGCCTGAAATTACCTTGCAAAGCCACTTTTTATTTAGAAGACAGTTATTGGCAGCAAATGGCAGGCCAGGGTTCATTTTACATGTACATTATATACAGAGACCAAGTGGTAAAGTAGAGTCCTATAAGTCAAACATTGTGTACAGTGGATTCATTGCCATTTTGAAACAACTTTTCTCCCAACAAAGCCCATATTGAAAAACTTCAAATAAGGTAGACGTTTTCAACTCTTTCAAATTCATATCTCATACTTTGCGAATGGAAGGGATTGGACAATGTTGTTTTGAAGCAGCTCTTGATATCGCTGGTTAGTGGCACCAATGCACATGTACATGTACTTGATGCAGGTTATGAAAAGCACTGCAGGAGTGACCATACCATACACATGTTCATGTATCAAATCTGCCCAAACTAGCCCTCACAATTCCTTTAGCATGGTCCGCATGTAGCATAGGTTCTTGCTTCTATGGAATTAGTAATATACAATGTGCGCCATTACACGGTGCAATGGCTGAACACAAAGGACTAGATACACAAGGTTAGTCTACTTATCCAAAGCCGAGGGAAAGTATGATAAAAATGTTTGACGTTGGAGTTTGTATGCCCTGACAGGATTTGTGAAATAACCACATCCTACAGAGCTTGCAGCATTGTACACAAGGAATAGCAACTTCAGAGTGGCAGACCATGAAATTAACGCAGCATTAATTTGTGTACAGGTTCAAAACAATTCTAATATGCAAGTGTGCCATGCTTACCAGCCATAAATTAAGTGTGTGTGCGGGGGTTTCCTGTACGGGGGGTTTCCTGTACGGGGGGTTTCCTGTACGGGGGGTTTCCTGTACAGGACTTCCCATTTATGGTCACCCTTGCCTTTGCTTTCAACAAGTTGTAGCTGCAACAATGACTGTGTAGGGGTTATTTGTCTCAGCACAACATACTGAAAAATAGACAGTTACATTCTTTTCTCGAACCTAATTGCCATAAGTACAACCACTCTCAACCTCAGAATGCATCTTTCAAGTCTATTCTGACAATGATGAAAAAAACAACTAGGCTGAGTTAACCATTGAGGCTTCTCATCCCGAGAAAGCCCACTTACAGGAAAATATGATTAATGAGTAGCAGTAGGTTCCACAGGACATGTGAACATGACCTAGCCATCTACTGTATACGTGTGCACAGTGATGGCTGCTCAGGTACACTGCCACATGCACTCTGAGTCATCTCCAAGACTCCAACAGACGTGAATATACATGTGTAATGGCATCTCAGTCATGTAGAAAAGTCTGTAGAGGTATACCGTACAGTATACTGAACGTGTTCTTGGCTACTCTACTTTGCCTTGTTGCTACCAATATTGCATGACCGCAGAGTTGCAAAATATAAGGTTGCGGTACAAAATGTTGCACAAATATTGTTTGAATGACACTAACGGGTCAATATTCACATTTGGCTGTATATCACAAGTTGGCCTCAGCATTACACCTTTCTGATATCAAAGTTTCCGTCAAAATAATACTGTCTGCAATTTTTTAAGGAAGTACGGCTTTTGTTAATCGGTCTAAGCTTAAGCTAAAATTGTAGAAAACTAAAAGACATATATATGTCAAATTTCAAACTATTGACAGATCAGCTGTGCAATATCTGTCAACACGAAAACACAGTAGTTATAAAAACAAACACAACAAATTACTTATTTGGCAATTTCTAGCATGTGTCACGGCATGACAAGATCCTCTACACAAACAACCATACAGTAGTGAAAGATACCAAAAATGGCAAAATTGTTAACTTCAACAAAAAATACTGTCACTTACTGAAGCATCTTGGCCAGCATAGTGTGTCAAAAGCCTGGAGCCTCCTGGGTGCTTTCTAGACCACTCTGTCACATCATACACCAGACCATCAATCACCAGCCACTTGCTTGGGTCTTCCTTATCTCTGCCATTGTGTTTGTTCACTTCATCCCAAGATATGATTTTCAAGTTGGATGCCTGTGTCTCTTCTGCTTTGGTCCGTGTACGGTTGCTCCCTTTACCCATCTTACCTGCATCGGTGATGCAACGGGTCTGCCAGAGAAAAGAAAACATCACGAATTTGAATGGATAAGCTGAATAAATTTTGTGCTTTTTAAGTTGCACAATGTATATGTGGGCCTATTCGCTCTTTGCACGCTCCTAGCCTCGGACTGGCAACTTGTACAATCATGTCAGAATCAAGAACTAATGCAGACTGTGCAAAATTACTGAGCAGCAACATATGAAACACTGAACCAGCTATATTTATTGTGTACAGCTGCTAGATCGGGGCTCGGGGCGGCAGCGTGCAAAGAGCGAATACCATTCTATCTACATAGACAGCCCCAAATTAACTTATTTTGTTCACATTGCTTCTGAGACTGGCTGATGATTTCCTTACCCAGAAAAGACAAAGACGTAGGATGCTGTATTCCCAAAATGAGGCGTACAATATGAAATTCGTAGTTTATGTAAGGAAAATTTGGACGAAGGTCGAATCATGGGCGGTAATTTCAATACGTAACCCCAGCTCCGACTGCTACCGGTGCTAGCATGACAAGCGCTCAATTAACGACCGGCACCGTGCTCACACGACACCGTAGCATAAAGTGCAATGAACAAGTCTTAACCGTACCGGAACAAGAGCAATTTTACCCATTATAAGGAAGTAGACAGATTTTATGATAATTTCTGGTAGTAAAACAAACAAACTTTATATGCAATATCTGATCATTTGCATGTAATATTATCTCCTATAAGTTCCTCGTTACCTGTATCTTGTGAGCAGACATGTATTGTCCTTCAATGCGTTGCGATTGCAGTCACCGGGATGTGTTATGTTGAATTCCTCAGGCTTCTCCTTCACGTGCATGCGTTTACCGCATGCCTCTCATATTGATGGCGCGCGAAAATGTACACATATAACACTGTAGCAACCAATCCATTTGCGGGACTCACCACGGCGTGCGAACGCGAGACAAATAATAACACTTATTTGGGTAATTCCACATACAAGACAAACACATCACAGCAGGCTGCCTAGGATACCATTTTTTTTTTGATTGGTCGTCGTCTGTGAGTTAAATGTATTCTATTGCTGGAAACTTGCGCTGTTGCTTAAGATGACATTGAAGAAAGAGCCTTAAAATGGCAAACATACGGTATATATGAATCGGCGAGAGCCCACATTTGGGAGAACTTATTGGTCAAGAAAGTAAGAGAAACACGGTCAGTTATATCATTGAACACGGTGGGCATTAAAACTCACAGCGTATTGTGGCACCATAAACGTCTGTGCCGACCAGGAGGCTTCAAGTTATGGGGGCTGCTTTCTAGTTCTAGAAATACATGTATATGCACGTGAAGGCAAAATCTTCACAAGTACGGACGAATTAAGCGTCGATATCCTTATTAATCTTCCATAATAGTCTTTTAACGAGTGAGGCTTGATTTGGAGACACTTTTAACAGTTTTGGAATGATGAGAAATGATGAAAAAAGAAACCCTTTTCTCGTGATATTTCCAAAAACAAATACAAAAGTGCCCTTCATTTTAATTTGGTCTCATTGGCCAATGGAGCGTGGATGTGCAGACTGGGGGAGCAGATGCCCCATGTACGTGTATTATGAACTGGAGAGACAGGTTGTTCAAATGAGAGTAATGAATTATATTCTGTGTATCTTTGGACTCATGAGCAACATATAAATGAGTCCTTTCATCACCTTAAACACGAATGTCAATAAATATTTCTGTTGCAGAATATTTTTGAACAGTGTTCTGATTGGGAAAATATCGCGGTGCCACCTTTTTTTGAACAATGCTGGTAAAAAGAGGGTAACACCTTAGAGAAAAATAAAGAAAGGGAATTCCCGGCCAAAATATTGCCCCGGTTTCAGCATGAGTATAGCTCTACCATTGATTACACACCAACAAAGCAATTTTCAATTGCTTTGTTACACCATCATGTACATTCTACATGTACAATGTACTGCACTTGTACAGATACATGTACAGTGTACATGTACTGTGAATACCATACCGCATGCGCAGCACACCCCTTCTGTACAACCTATTTTGTTACTTTGGCTTTCCATACATAGATACATCAGGTGATTTTTTTGCAGCGTTGCCTGTCATGTCATTGAAAGACGTCATTGAATGGGGAAACCCTTTTGAAATCGCATGTCGCATTGTGTAAGTTTGAGTAAAATAATAGGCTGTGGTTTGAACAAACAAACAAAAGGCTGAGAAATCCGTTAATTCATAGGCAAATGAACCTTGTTCGATCCATGTTCGATCATCGAGGGGAGACGGGGGGAGTGTGATAATGTGGAGGTCCAAACCGCATGATTTGCATATAACTGTTTGGACTGATCGATGTAACAAAGGGGGTTGGCGTCTGGTTCAAACCTGGTACAGGTACAAACCATGGAGGAATAAACCAAACGTACCTAGCTCCTTCGTTTATAGTGTATTATATGTTCCCCGTCAGGCAGGGAAATATTCCAATCCAATTCATAAATATCTCAGTGGAGAACCCGTTACTTGGCACGGTCTTAAACGTTTGATGAGGGGTGCAGACCACTAATTCAAGTGAGAATTGCTGGCCAGCTCATTAGCATTAAAAGTCCCCCCCCCACAGTATCTTTTGAAAAAAGGAGATTGTTTGGCCTCCAAAATGGTGAGATTGTGTAAATCCTTGCCAGGATCAACTCCCTCGGTCTTTGAGCATTCATATGAGAGCAGAATGGCTAAAAACTAAGGTTGGAAAATGGTCGTAAGTGCCCCCGAAAGTTCAGGGTTGCCACTTGAAAAATGGCTGCAATCGGACTTCGGAAAAATCACTTTTTGTGGGGGGGGGGTGATTTTGTTTGTGGGAATAATTAAAAATGTAATTAGTTAACCCACAAAAAATTGAAAAGAAATTGAAAGATTAGGGACTAGACAATAATTTTATTTGTGTTTCTGAAATCTAGGGGATGTTGGTATGCATGTTATTGGGCCCTGAACATTGCTGATTTTACACTGTTTTCAATGGGGCTTGAGTTAGTGGACTGTACCCACTGATCTCTGTACCCTGAGGCACTGGCTGGCCGAGCGCCACCTCACGGGTAGTACCGTGAAACATGGCGGGCGTTTGAAAATATGAAGTTAGATTATTTAATAAAATCGTTGGTAATAATGTTGAACTTGTTTTGACTTTCATACACAAAATGCCTGGCTGGCCTGGACGAATCTCGCTGGCTCCGGAGAGTGGCCATCATTACGATAACTTTGTCCCTTGCCGAACGTTTAAGACCGCTATTACTTTTATTGCTTCCTTTAATAAAATCTTGGATTCGCCTATTTTGTTTTCGTGGAAGTTTCAATAAAGCGAAGTAAAAAAAATGAAATCAAAAAAATATTTTCTCTTATTAAAGTAAAAAAACAGCGTCCCTGCCTATGTTGCTTGGAGGCCGCCTACATTGACTTTTTATTTTCACCTCTGGGAAAATGTAAAAAAAAGTGGAAAAATGTATAAAAAAAAAACTTCTAACCTTACATAGACTATGTGGGTCACTTCTACAAAGTACGCAGTGTAATGTCCATTCTACAAAAGTCTTTGAACGGCCACTCCAACTTTTAGCTATGACTGTAGGCAGTACTGCTTGAAAAGGCTGTTTGGGGAATTCTTGTGAAACTATGTTACTGAATAAACAAACTTGAGCAAAACATGTTTTTGATTTGTCTTCGAAGAGAGAAACCACTCCTAGTAGGTGAAAAAATAAAATCATGGACATCTTGAAAATACGCCAAGCCTCAACTCATTAAAACCCACCAAATATATATATCTTTTTACTAATTGACTCGAAATTTGACTGTGTTACTTCGCAGACATATTAGCAAACTGAACATACTTGCAGAATGGTCACTACAACTTGGGTTTCATTTGTTTTCTATCACTGTTGAATTAAAAATACACTGCCAATCTTGAATGTATTGTCTATACCTTCTTTCTTCAGAATTTGTCTTGAATTTTGTTCACAGTATTAAGGCAGAATTTTCCTTTTCTACAAGCCCAACACCAGTGTAGATGTAAATTAAATCTTTTTTTGCCAGGAAAGCCTACAGGCATAAAACAAATGTGACCGGCTCTAGAAAAATGGGTAATAAGTCGCCAGATTCAGGTTATGAGTTTTGGATATGGCTGGATTCTGTACATCAAAAGCTACAATTTGATACATGAATGACCCCTGTAGTGCGCTGCGTTCTGGATATATATAGACATTTGTGTATCCACAATTATTTAGATTCAATAAAAGCACTTTTTGAGAAAAAGCTCTTGAATTGTAGTGCTTGGAAACACAATGCTACGTAGGATTTCCTACTAAATGATCAATTTTTTATCTTTATTCATCAGTATCCATGTTTGTAGCAAATTCTGGAAATATAAATACCATAGAAAGCATTAAAGGAAAAAACACAAAATCACATTTTTTAAGAAAGGTTGCCATCTCCAAATAGAACAGGCCATAACATGTTTTGGCATAGTGCAACTTATTACCCTTTTTTGCAGAGCTGGTCACAAATAAACAATTCGGACCCATCATTTGAAAGATTGAGCATTCCTGAACTGCCTTTGTTTTCAACTTTTATTTTCCTTTATCACTGATTTGTACAAAAATACACAAACTCCACTCCTCCTAATAATCTTTGTATGCTATCAAGCACACAATTTCAAGGATTTCTTAAAACAATCTACATAAGAATTCTACTTTGTTCAAGTATTCTTAGCAAATTCTAACTCTTGCCATATCTTCTGTTGCTGCTTCAAGTTTCAACTTCTCCCCGATTCCAAACTTCCAAAAAGTTCAACTTTTCTACCAACCACTTGACCAATGCCACTCCTAAAAGACCTTCTCATTCACAAACTTTGCTTCTGGGTCATTCTATAAATTAGGGGTCCCTGTCCCATCTGACATATGATTTTGGAAGTTCAGCACACATTCTCTAATTGCCAAGAGTGATGAATTAATGCAAATTACCTGCCAAACAAATAAAAATAGTTTGAAATCAATTTCAGTGACATTTCCATGTCAAATTACACGGGTCAGGTGTGACAGGGACACAAAAATGTCACACTTTTGGACCCTTACTTTATAGAATGACCCTTCTATCGAGCCTTTCAGAGTTCAATCTTTGTACAACATTCTTAAGATATTTAACCACTATTACTGACCACTCATCCCTGACTCCATCTATCAAACTTATTGTCCTCTGTTGACTAACCTGGGAATTCCCTTTGTCCATACTTCCAACTTATGTCCCAAGTCACCAGGCAGTCCAACAAAATCCATGCCTTAAATATTGAAAATATATTTAAGTGATGATATCTGTAGAGGTCAAATGCACATTTAATCTCCCAAGCATCTGCCAGCTGGTTGAGGTTAATGTTCAAATCGTTCATTGCCTGGAAGGACGTAACCACTTACGACCTGCTGGGAAGCACGATCACTAAAAAAATATTTTTCGCGGCAAAAGGACGTATGTACGCAATTGTTTTATTTTAATGAAAAATAAATATTTCTTTGCAAAATGTTCCCGAGTCGTTTAATAAGTTGTTCAAAGGTTGCCTTTTGAACAGCCTATGTTGATTTGTAGTAAACTTCACCCGTTTTTACTAAAATTGTAATAAAGACAATGCGTTTCTTAAACCCATTTGCCAGCAACATTTTTTCTGCTGTGATCAAGCGTGCTTACGTCCTTTGGACAAAATAAACTTCAAGGGGAACTCAGCACATTTAAATCAGAATGTACTTGGATAGCTACGTTGGTACAGCTTAACTGCATTTCCAGATTGTTAATGTTCCACTCCTACATCTGTCAAATTTTCTTTGACAACAAAAGATTCACAGAATCATTTTTTTCCATTGCTCAACTTCCAAGTCAGCTTTTCAATGTCCAAATCTGGGAATCATCTGCTGCTCTCCTTGTCCTGTTTTAATCTTGCCCTCTTTCCCACCGGAGACCACTGCGTCTTATTCTTCCTCATACTTTTCTTCTCTTGTTGGTCCTTTATCCTTTGCTGTTTCCGTTTCAAGTACGCCTGTGTATTGTCGAAGCTTTTCTTGTACAGATTAGTATACAGGCTTGGTGTGTTGACAGCCCCTGGACAAAGATCAACAGTTAATCGTTTCGATATGTATACATTTTCCATCATATGGGCAAGTTAGCATATCAATCTGGCAAAATGACATCGGGAACAGTTTTGCTAATGAGTACTTGTAACTGGGAGACGGGTCACTATCATTACCTTGGAAAAAGCTCCAATCCATGTTCAGGTCTTTCACTATGCTTGTCAAACTGGAGTTTTCCTCTGATTCATCAACAGCCAGTAGCTATATTAAATAGAAAAATTCAAACATGACCATTATTTAAGGTAGTGTTTTGACGTTCATGTACACTACCATTATGCTCTGCTTGCTAGCATATTAAACCAATATAACTTTTGGCTAATTTTAATGTATGAGGCAGTGTTGCAGTCAAGTCCATCACAAGTCTCTACAAGTCGCACAGAAGCTATTCAGTGTTAAGCTGAGTCACAAGCCGTTGACATGAAGTGGGCCAAAAGAATTCGCCTGTCATTGTTCACCGTAGTACAACACTGGTGTGAAGTATTGAAATCTTTTGAAGAATAGTAAGGCTTGAGCCCAAACATCATTTGAGAATTACTGTTCCAGAAAAATGTAAAATTATTTAAGAATTTCACAACTTCATATCTTGGGACACTTTAATTTGGTTGGTCTAGACTGGTCACATGTCCAGTCTGGGGAAAAAAAACCTGGCTGAAACCATGCTTAAGGAAGGTTTTCTTTTGTTAAAAAAATTTGATTTTTGTGAGTTCCTACCGCATTTGAAGAACCCAAAATAACTATTTCACAACATACATGTGGTCTCCCAACTATGGAACAAGGCAGTATGACTGCTTACAACACACACTGTGTTGCATACAAATGACCTCCTGTGCATTGCCTTGACTGCCTTGTAAGGTACATGTACATGTATGTCTGTGAGGTCTGTGCACTAATATCTTGTGGAAAACAAAAGGTTACGCAACAGTGATTTAATTTATTCCTTACAGAATACATATCAACCTTTGTCTTTCAGACTTAGTTGCATGGTACAAAAATTACTGACTGATCTGATGGGGGATGTGTTTGTGCTTTGTTCTGGGAAAAATGCATATTCCTCAAAACAGCAAAATGAACAATGCTATGTTACTTACTGAGAAACCTTCATGTGACTCAACGACTGAATAAACCTCCACTGGTTGTGACTCAAGTTGCCTGAGTATCCAGAGATGGTCCTGACCATCAAAGCATGCTGACCAACAAACAGCCTGAACATCAAGCGATGGCAGTCTTTCCACTAGTAAGCTGTCTCCTTCAGATGATGTCACACGGAACAGCCAAATACAATGTGACCTGATAAAAAAAGAATAATACAACTACAAACATTTTGGTACTTCAACAAAATGAGGTCATTTGGAACAAACAAGTGATGCCATGCCACCTCATGGCATGTGGGCCAGGCTGATGCGGCCAATCTTGTGCATGTAAACTGATAATCCCAAATGACTAATGATACATTTCATTTTTTTTTCATGCGCTATCAAAAGACCAAACTGCCTTTCTGACCAGCTCCCTCAAAATGACAACAATTGTGTGTAGCAAGACTTAATTTCTTAACATTTTGCTCCATAATGCATGAACCAAGAACTGCATCTGGGCCAGCAATAGCAATCAGGCGATTTCAAAAGCCAGATTACTAGTGCAGTTAGTCACATGGCCACCACAAAGAGCTAGGGATTGGACTGTCAATGGACAGACTACAATTGGGTGGACTATAGCGATAAGGCATCTTGTCCATATACTGTGATAGCATATGGCATGCACAATGTATCCCAGTGTGAAGGGTTGAAAAGTACTGGGGAGGAATGATTCATGAAAATGTTTGGCAATCTGTTTATACTTGTTTATGAGCCTGTTTGTTTCACACAGATCTGGATCTCAATGAGTGATCCCATTGCTGGTTTGCTCCATCTATAAGGCTAGTTTTGGTGTCCATTACCCAACGACGGATCACTGATCATGCTCCAGATCTGTGTCAAACAAACATGGCCTATGACTCTTCAGGATGGGGTTGCTTTCATACAGAGGTGCAAATATGCAAGAATGTCCTTTCATAAGGGGGGTATGACCTATTCCTCCATACCTCCCTCTGATGAACGGACACTCTTGCATATTTGCATCCCTGCTTTCAGACTGGTCACACGAAACAAAGGTACCGTGCAGGCATTTCGAGCTATGGAGGTACTCATGTAGATATCCTATTTTCATGATGGGAATAAATTGTAGCTTTCAGGTAAATGGAGTTTTGACTTATCCAGTTTTGAGTGTAGACTTATCCAAGGAGACACCATAACTGCAGTGGCACTGCACATTATTCAGCTTGACGCGTGTGTACATTTGGCAAATCATTTCACCCTATTGGTCAAGGAGGCATGTAATGTGTGCGCTGCCACCTGTCCATGGGCGTTGTGCCACCGCGGTAACGGCCTCCAATCCTTATTGTCGAATTACACTACAGAAGAGTTTACTGCACATGGCAAATACATGTAATTAATATATTACATGTACTCGATACTGGATTTCCCATATATCAATTATTGCAAAAATCTCATATCAATGGACCCTGATTTAGATGAAATTAGTTGAGCATACTCTTCCACCACATGCATCCCAACCAGTGCTAACACCAAAGTGCATTGTAATCACACCGGTGGATAGGTACCGGTGCTCTTCCACCACATGCATCCCAACCAGTGCTAACACCAAGGTGCATTCTAATCACACCGGTGGATAGGTACCGGTGCTCTTCCACCACATGCATCCCAACCAGTGCTAACACCAAGGTGCATTCTAATCACACCTGTGGATAGGTACCGGTGTGGATTCAACTATTATGCAGCTTAACCACTTGCAGGTGGTATATTTTGGCTGAAACTTTCAACTTTCAAAAGAGGCAAGACACAGCAGCCAACATTTCAGATACAGCCAAATACCACAAATGTTGACACGTCAGAGTCATTTTAACAATATTTCCACACCATTTCTTCTTCCTGCCTCATACTTTGCAACACTCTGGGACACCGCCATGCAGTGATACTTACTAAAAACATGCCGGGTACAGCAGTTAAGTTCAACACATGGTCTGCCTCCAAAGGCTTCTTGGACTTTGGTTATGTATACAAAGCAAAATGTGAGATTATTGAGTTTACATGTCCGTTGGCTGTAACTCAGTACACACATGGTATATTAACCCTTCAGACACCCATGTCTATGTAGACTGCCAGATTGTGTTGACACGTCCTCAACCTCCAGCATGAACTAGTTTGACAAAGATTCATTGGTAACTCTCACCCTAGGATTGTGACAGCAACCAGCCTGTGTCTCCGGCAGCAAGTGATCCCTGTGACAATCAGCTGCTGTTCTTCACTGCTTGTCTCATTCACAGGTTGCAGGTGTACACATGATAGCTGCTTCCCTTGTCTGTAGTCCCAGAACCGGAGAGTTGCATCCTGGGCTTGTGCAAATGACCAATCACATTTAACGACTTATTCATGTACCAATCGTGAGTTCAAAGAAGGGGTATCTGCAGTTTAAGTCAAGGACACTTCTGAAAGCAGCAACCATGCTAGTCCATGTACATTTCATTCACTTGTTTTTCAATTTAAAAAATGAAGTATGAAACTCATCATTAATTAATTTTTTGTTATTTTGAAACAAAAACAAGAAACAAACAATATGTTACTCTTTTAAATTTCTTGACAATGTGTAGTGAATGGATTTCCTTGCTTTTGATTTCAAATTGGAACAACAAAAAATACCTTGACTTGCTTTTCCAATTTTCATTTTCCAAGTTGAAAAAAATAGTGAAAGGTACAGAGCCTCCCCCCATTTCCTTTCTTGGGGGTTCAACTTCATGGTGCTGAAACACCCCATGAGCCATCTGTGAGGGGTTCCAACTAATTAGACACAGTACGAAAAGATGACCACATAAAACTGCTTGGACTTTAAAATAAATTGATAAAGCAGAAATTACGGCTCACCCCACCACCTGTGACAAGGGTATTCTCCAAGCCTGGCAAGATGGCTATTTTACTGACAAATCTGTAAGGAAATACACCGTAAATTGTCAGTTTCAAAAAGATTTACATTTATTACTATAAATGTACAAAAAAGTGACACACTAGGTCAATTGTATGTCACATTTTTTACCATACTCTTCATGTACATCGCTAAGGACTCCATCAAAAACAAGTACAAGTAGGCAGCACTTTGTGACTATTCAATTAAATGCCAAACTGCAAGTACACTCACTAGTTTATGTGAGTGTAGTAATATCCTTGGTCAAGGTGTTTGTCATTTGTCGCAGTGCAGCACAGTGCACACCATCCAGGTTCAGCTGATTTATATATTTCTTAGGCCGCATGAGGTCGCTCTTCGCCTTGATTTTGCAGTGTATGCAGGTATGTACGTACGCAGGAACATGTACGTACTAGGTCAGTGAGTGGCTGGTGTGTGCTGTGCTGCAATGAATGATGAACGCCTTGACCAAGGCTAGTGTAGTAGGACTATGCATGGCTTAAGTTTTAGGCTGTGACATTTTCCCACAGTGGTAATGCCATTTACCGGTAGGTGTCTGTCATAACTCTTTTACACTGTTGAGTACTTGCACGTACACTTCAAATGCCCAGAACACTTCCAAAATGAGGAAACTTTCAAGACTTCTCAACAAAAGATTCGGGAGGCTGAATTGTGACTTTTTTTTGTTCAAAATGATACAGTAAAATTTGTAGCATTTTGCTACATCAAAAGGCATTTCATTCTAACAATTTCTAACTTCTACTCTAACTACAATGACCTGGCGTCAAACCTGGATATGTCACTTCTGCCATTATGCTCTCATTTATGTGCATTCACCATTTTTGTGCACATTCTGTTCAAAATCTGCTATAACCACTTCCAGCCACTCACTAGTGAGCTCCCATTTCATTGCATGTCTACTAGTGTACATGCAATATGTATCCCTTGCTCACATGTGCAAGTTGCAATAATTGCAAATCACCTGATGTAACAGCACATTCCCCTAACATCATAATACTGAGAAGGGGAACACAATGCATTCTGGGTAGCCTACTGCCCCATGATCTAAATATGTACATAATACGTGCAGCAATTTCATGATGTCTTACATATAGGTTAGTAGGTTCAAACAAGGCACTGTGCAGCTATTTTCCACTCTAACATGCTGGACGGATGTATCAAGTACAAACCCTACCCGACAATTGACTCACTCTGTGTGGCCAAGGCAAAAGGCATGGATGTTGTAGGCATTTGGCAAACAACTGACACGAATCTTCTCATCCCTATCAGAAGTCAAGATGTACCTGTCATCTGGTGACACCACCTAAAAGAAGAATTAAACACTTCTAATGCTGACAACCAATAAACGGATAGATTGGACCTATTTATTTTTGAAAAGTTAACTCACTCACTTATTTCTCTTCTCCCAACAGTAGTTCAGCACCAATGACAGGATGAAAAAGAGTGACAATGAAGAAGATAATGAAGAAAGCTTCAACTTTACAAGTTGAAGGACAACCCTACATAAACGTTTCAGAGAAACCAACGCAATCAGGTAGGGACTGAAAACCCAATCCACACGCTGATCTACCAGCAGGCGGTATTTGGATCCATGGCCGCAGAAGTGGAAAGTGCAGAAAGAACAACTACATCAGCTTAACTCCCCTGTACCAACCTGACTCCCTTGGCTAGTTTAAGTAAGTAGGTTTTGGGTGACGTTTTCATTGCAAACTCATTTCACATTCACTATAATTGATTGCTTTCAGTTCAACATGATTAAATGAGTCTTCCCCACACTCGATGCTTATAATTAGATTTGCTTTGTAACTCCTTGAAATGAACAACCCTTACATCTCCTATGGAGGAAAAACATTTTCTTAAATATATCCAGAGCTGGAAACAAAAATAGAAGAAAATTGCAAATTCACAGGAAGCTAGAGAGTAACAAATGTAAGTATGGTTTACTGTGTGGTTGAACTTATTGACCAAAAAATAAAACAGTACAGAATTGGAATGAAAGATTGTTTCTTTTTTTGTTTAAGTTTTACCATGTCCAACAGCATTGACAAATGACCTAAAATGAGACTTCCGTCGCTTTGAGGTTCCGTCACTGAGAAACTGTGGACATCTCCAAATTTATCTGCAACATACAATATGTTCTCTGCATTGTTGAAGGCTACAGCCATGCATCGCTTTAGTGTCACCCTGAAATTAAGAAAACCAAACAATGACAAATTCAAAGTACTTTCATAGGCCCACAAGTATTACTGGGTTACTCAATCAATTGATGTATTCATTTTTCTACTCGATAACTCAAAAACTGCTTTGTGAAAATCAATACATCTCTTCAGATGGTGAACGAGAATTGCCAAAAGATTCTTAAAACCAAAAATCTGGAACATTCTTAATGAAAAGAATGGGAAAAATAAAAAGACAGATTGTAATCGAAAGGAATAAGTGGATGACATGAGCTGTTCAGATGTTTTAGCAAAAAATACTTTTAATTAAACCTTGCATGAAAATTTGAGGACAAAAGGGGCCATTTGATCATCAACAATTGATTGATTGAAAAAATAAATGAAAACTTGCAGACCTACTTCAAATTTTATGTTCTACTCTCTGACAAGTCTGAGAAGGAGAAATAAGAAATCAATAGGATTCACATGTGTTTGATAAAAGAAGAAAAACTGTTTGGAAGCTACGCTAACGATGATGCTAGAACTGTTAGGTTCAGCAATCATGTATCTGGACAAATAACCTGGCATCACAGATAACCCTAACCCCTTATCCTACCCTAAGGTGTATGTGAAATCATACTGAAATCAAAGGATTTGGGACTGTTAGGATTAATGTACAAAAAGGACAAATAATGCATTGACTGCATGTGCTACTTCATCTATGTAACTACAGGTGATATCAATAAAAGGCACTGCAGGGCAAGGCCAAGAGAGAAAATATCTTCAACCACTTGCAAAGGATATTTCTTGACTGAAATTTTCAACTTTTGAAAAAGACAACATAAGGAGGCCAACTTTTGATAATGTAACCACTCACCACATGTCCTATTGCAACAACCTATTTTTCAGTACTCCTACCCACAGAGCAATATTTGCTGCCACAGTGGGCTGTGCACAGCTGCCAAGTTCAAGTTCAACACACTGCCTTTCTCCACAGGCTTTTCAGACTTGTAAGCATGTGTACAAAACAAACAGGGGAATAGCAGGCTTAGATGTTAACCAAAGATGAGTGGGCTTGACATAGTAATCCATCAGTGGATGGATTAGACCATGTCAAAAGCACCCTCCATACAAAGTGGTTAAACAGAGAATTCAATTCAAACAGTAATTTAAAAAAAGCAACTGATACACAATATTAAATGTGTAAAGGCAGTTTCTGTTTGCTTGAATCTCTGGCAAATGGGGTTTTTGTTTCATATTTTGTCAATTTTCCTTTGCTGTCTCCATCTCGAAACATACTTGTTGCGTCCAGAAAATACCTGTTGCTGAGCAGATGCCAATCTTGGGTGTCATACAAGGAGAGTATCTTGTGATCATCACACAGTGCCAAGTATCGTCCACTTGGTGAGAAGCAAAAGGCTAGAATTGTGCCTGTTGCAGAATGGCTGGGATCACTTGAGGGCCAAAAGTGAAAGAAATAGTTTGGATTCATAAAGTTTTACATACTTAACAAACAGACGGGTAAAGCACAATACGTGTATATAATCAAGCCAAATTTGTCATTTTTATAATTCGAGATATACTGTATCTACATTAAAAATTCCAGGCACTACATTCTTCTTTGATCTTAGTTTCAGATCTGTTGCGGTTCATTTCAGTGCCCAAACTTACCACACTGTAGCAAGTACATGCACTGTACCTGTAGGTATAACTTTGCCTTTGGAAACCTCAATTCAAAACAGTTAAACAACAAGTCACAGCCTGACTGTAGCTACATGCCACACACAAACTTTTGAGGGTTTTCACAACAATGAAGATGATATTATTGTGCTCTTTCAATGCCTACAAACCTATAAAACCCCAGAGCTGAAAAAAGTGTTGTTTTGCTTAATCACAACACACACACACTGACTCTTCTAATACAGTGCTTGCCTTGGGAAGAAATTTCTATAAGAACAATTACCCCGAGAATATGGCCAACAGTCTAATATCTACAATTTTAAGAAAAATCTTCCAAAAAATGAGAATTGTGGTGCAGCCAACACAGAGGTTTCTATAAGGGTAACTCAGACCTCAGAATATTCCTGTGACTCTAAGAGCACTCCTTGGAAAAAACTCATATCTTCAGCCAGAATAGGTTGCTCCCCAGTTAAAAGTGTGCATGTGTGGTCAAGTCTTGCAACACCTGTTCCCAGTTTTCACAAAGCAGTAAAACACAAGATTTCCTTCCAACATGAAATCCGTCCTTCAAAGACATCACAGCAAAGAGGCACTGGGCAGAAATTTTTCGAAACTCCACATACATGTATGCACAACTGTTGGCAGGTGTATCCTGTATTGTTTGAAGTAGGTGACCGATTGTTTTTTTTCTTTCACTGCCACTGAACAAAATATCACATCGAATTCAATGGGAATGGTCCACTGTCCACTGAGAGGTTTAAACCCAGTAAGGGTGAACATTATTTTAAACAGAGCCACATTAGGCGACATCAAAAGTCCTGAGAGACACACAGAGCCATCTGACCACTTGAAATATCAAAGTCTGCATGTACATGTAGGCAGTGCTGCATGTATGGAATTGACCCTTGGAGTTTCAATGACAACATGTGTTTGTTATGAAATGCTGTAACTTTTAAAAGAGTTCTAACACATACATGTACATGTGCTTGCTTACCCTTCTTGGCTTGTGATTTCTTCAGTTGGTTCTTCTACTGGTTTGGACTGTTGTCTTGACAAACCTGTCTCCTGGGTCATCGGTGATAGGGAAAGTTGCCCAGGTCTTCTGTGGGTTTCTCTGTACACAACATGTCCACTCGATTCGGCACTAATAAGGAAATCAAGAAAAAGGCAAAAACCAGAATGCACTTTGACTTTTTGAGGAGGTTGGGGCTTTGTGGTTGCTACTGAAGTCAGGGAATTTTTCAAATAATAAAACCCAGGTTGTAACATTCTTTCCAAAACACATTTTCAGTTTTTAACTTGTGTTTTTATTAAACTAGCCATGTATTGCATTCTTGTACATGCTTTTTTGTAAGGCCATGAGAATGGGAAGTCATAGATTTCCATGTGGAAAAATTTGAACACACATGAGGCAATTTTCATTTGTCATTATTCACTATTTTTTAATAACACTTCTTCCATTATTCTTCACCGTGTTCCTCCATGGTTTCACAAGCAACAATGTCTGTAAAAGTTGAAGGGAAAGAAATAAAAGGTCGAAACAGATATTCTTCAGGTCAAACAGGTCTTGGCATGGAGGTGACAAATCATCTTGACTTCTGTTGAAGAAATGTGTCCCAAGATTATCCCTACAGTAGGTCTGAAGGTAGCACGTTCCATTAGTTCAGAGAAATAGCAAATGCGCATGAGGAAAAGCCACTACTCCCCATTGGTTGGTTCCAAGCCCTTGCAAATGGATGGGCCAATCATGTCATTCAACACAGAAGGTTTGAACTCTACTTTCGTATCCCACTCATACATGTACACTTTTTAAGAGGACTGTGCATTTGATTTATGATGAGGCAAATGATTTGTAATTCATGTTGAGTCAGGAAGTGTCAGTTGCATAGAATGACAAAAAAAGTAACTAATGGAATTTTTCAATAGCAGCTTTTGGGGCATGCATTGTAAGATGCACAGTTCTTTCTTATGGCCTAAGCTGCACATGTACAAGTACATAGTCCGAGTAACTTAGACTCTATGAATCACCTCTTGTATACAACCCAATGTGGCCACACCTACCAAATGTTGCGCCACCCAGGAAACAGTCATCAGCCTGTACATGCAGATACCGCATGCTTACTGTGAATGGTCTGCTTGGCCTGCACGTCGTGAATTTGTCTCCAGGAATATTAGCATACAGTTTGAATCGCTACATGAAAACTACCGGTATGGCAACTTCAAGCTTGGCCGACATAGGCCTGACAAGAGCATTTCCAATTTAAACGGGAAAGTTTTCTACTCTTCTCAAATACCAAATTGAACTTTACTGGACATGTTTTTGCCTTCTGACGGCTAATAGGGGAATAATTACTGACGTCCGTATAGGAAACTCTTCCCCCATTCCCACTTTATCCTACAATGGGTGCATTAGACAGATTTAACTACCATTTTAAAGGTTAATTGTGAGGATTTTGATCCAGAGTACGACAATGTACAAACTACATGTATGTTGAGTGAAATCAATTAATGGAAGGGAAGGTCTATACATGTATGAAGGGTACTTGGACTCTACTATCGCCGACCATGTCCAGGATACAGGAGGTGATTCACAACGTCCAAGTTACTTGGGCCACTGGGACCAGGACTTACATGTACATGTACATTACTTTTGCTCACTGCTCAGTGCCCAAACAAGGCACTGGGAAGGACTGATGGCTTTGCACTGTGATTGGCTACATGTACATTGTGCACGACTTGTGACCGCGTGCTTATCACTTCCTGTTAGCGAAGCATTATTTGAATTTTTTGTTCGCCAATGGCAAAGCTTTGGAATGGGCAAAGTGTCGGCTATATGATAAAAACATGGCCTTGGTACAATCGCAGTGTGGTAAGTTTGTCTTCTCACTAATCACGTGTCTTTGGCAATATATTTCAAATCATCGTTTATCTTGACATCAACATCAACACCTCAAAAATGTTTCATTGACAAAAGAGGCATAGAAGTGTAATACTTGGGCTGAAAGAGACTTTCCAGTAGTTGGAGGTCACAAATCAATTTTCAAAATGAAGTTTTTTCACATGAAAAAAATGATCTCTAGCAGTGTAGCTGTTTGCCGCCATCTTGCCTTCTCATAGATCTTGGACCATACCATTTAGGTGTGGTTATGCAGGTAATACCACAAACAACAGAGGGTACCAACCGCTAGCAGCAGATTGTTGGTGCACTGCTTGGATCATGTTGTGAGTAGTATTTTGTAAATTTCAATTTTTTTTTTTAATTTTAATAGGTTGATCCTTCAGTAGGCCTATTGGAGTAGGAATTATGGTAATTTTAAAACTGACTGGGATTACATGGCTTGATGCACTTCCCTCCCCCAAGCAAAGTTTACTGGTAATACAGGCATCACAGTAAGTTCAAAGAAATAAAGCAATGTGGCTTTGGGGAATTTGGGAAAGGACATACATGTAGGAGGGGATTCTCCATCCGAAGATGTAATCCATGCAACGACTGCCTTTTGTTGGTTTATCATATAGACTACCGAAGTCAGTGAAGTGTGACGTCACTCACTGTGAACCACAAAGTGTAGTGCAAACAAATGGAGTACAAATGGAATGGTTTACATGCTAGTTCTCTTGCTAACGCCTTTTACACACATAACTGTGCATGTGACGTATTCACTTCTTTACTCTACAGAGTACTGAAGTGACTACGTCACGCACATAATTGTGCGTGTAAAGGGTATTACTATTAGTGAGTCAGTGCGCGAACCAACACGCGCGTGTACTCTATTTGTTTGCACTACACTTTCTGTTCAAAGTTAGCCCCACTAGTGTGGCACGGACTCTCGCTACCACTCCATCCTTAGCCACACATCCGTACACGCAATTTGTGTGTTGGCATAGTGAAAAAGTTCGGCGTACCCTCTTATAATCGTAGGCGCAATTTTTTTTTGCACACAGAGATGATCCTTAGCCTCTCCGCTTTCTTAGCACCATTTATTGAATGATTTCACTCATGTTGTTCTGATATTTTCAAGTCTTTTTGCCTTCACCCATTCAATCTCATGGGCTCGCTCTCACAGTTACCATCTTTAAAATAAGGTCGTTGAACACTATGTCACTTGACAGCTGTTCCAGCTGTTCCATGTCAAGACATATCTAAACTGCTGCCCAAGTTTAGTACATGTAGTATCTTATAGCTCAGTCTGTGTATTAGATATGTCTTGACATGGAACAGCCGTCGAGACGATGAGGGGTCCAGTGACTTAATATTCAATGACCTTATTTTAAAGATGGCGACTGTGAGAGCAAGCCATACGGATGTGTGGTTAAGGATGGAGCAGTAGCGAGAGTCCGTGCCACACTAGTGGGGCTAGTTCACAGTGACGTCACACTTCCAGACTTCCGTACTGGCATTAATGGTATGGTCTCAGCTGTCCCAGAGGCAACATGGCTGCAGATTTCTGAGCTAGTTTGAACAAGCAAGCAAGCAAGGAGACAATTTTGGCAAAATTGAAACAGCAATTTTCCAAAGTCTAACCTGTTGAGGTTTAGCCAAATTATCCTTTCGGCAAACACTTTATCATGTTTATGGTCGAGTACTGCTTCTTTTGTTTTTTTAAACATGTTTTGGAGGTATTGACGCTGTGTTGATGGTGTGTTGACGGTCCGTTGCAGGTTGGCAGTGTGTTGAGTGTTAATTAGTATGATCGCCTAGGCCGGCCTAAGTACACTGAAGTAACATGCTGCCTAAGACTATGTAGCTTAGGCCCCGAGGCCTAATGTCCGAGCATGCCGAGTGGACGTGGGGCCTACGCGTACACGGTAGGCATGTACATACATGTACATGTAGGTGCAAATCACCTTTTTACCTTTGGCAAAGAATCTGAAACGATGGTCCACATACGCAGAGTAAGGTACCTTTACTCCATAAAAGACTAGCCATCTTGAAGAAATGCTGTATTTCTGTAACAGCGCTAACGAATGTAATCTTTTTCGTCTGAGGAGTCGAACATGCCGAATCTTTGCCGATGCATGTACAACGTACATACAGCGCCACCAAGTGACGATTTATGGCCAATGCTTGAAAGGGCTGGCTAGGCTAGGCTAGGCCGGCCGGCTCTACGTACCAAAGATTGTATAGCGCCGCGCGGCGCTATACAATCTTTGCTACGTACCCAAGGCTGACGCCAGCGGTGTGTCGAGTCTCCGTTTTTCATGAAATTTGGAAAAGGCATAAAACTAAAGCCTACAAGCCAGTTTTGAAAACTTGATTTTCTTTTCTAAAGCGCTGTGAGTTTCGAGTCGGAGCTAGCAACGTTTGTCCCCCCTCTATGGATGGAGGAAGCACTAAACTGAATGGAATTTCCAACTGAACTTGTACTTGTGTACATGTACATGAAATGTGTTTTCTATAATTTAAGCATAGACCCTACATTACATATTGTGGATTTAGCATTTAGAATATATTGCCTGATCATGTCTTAAGTGTTAAACAAGGCATCTGTAGGATCCTTAATACTCAGAGTGTAGAATGTTATGTATTGACAGACTTGAGGGGGTGCCCTCAATTTCTGCAGAAAAAGAGAAAATGTGTGTTTTTGCCCTTTTTTGAAGGGGGGATGAGACAATTAGGATCATTTTACTTCCATTCCACCCCAAAGCATGTATTAATAAATTCAGCTTGAATCCACCAGAAAGGATCAACCCATCAAAAGATCACGATCTAGTCAATTCACTGGCCCTCCGCAAAAAAAAAACCTCCCCCAAACTATTTGGTTTTTCACATACATGCTTGATGTCATATGACATTTTACTTCACCAAGTCTAGTATAAGGAACTTGGGATGATGACCTGTTAAGATCAATGATCCTGCCAAGTCAACTTTAAAAAGGCAAGATACAGACCTACGGCTTAAATGGAAGTACAGGTACCAATCCAACTTGTTGAGATCCTCAGAGTGGAATATTGATATATCCAAAATTCATTGTGAGATGATGGTAAAATCAGACTCAAAAGGTGAGCAGACATCTTCAGTATATAAACTAGTATATAAAGTCATACATGTGCAGAAATGTAATAATCTTTCATGCTTATTATTGCATAACTTGTATGTACTTGTAATATGGCTGCTTATTCTTAATTTCTATTACACAATTTGGCCTTGCACCAAGGCTTTTTACCAAAACACATGTAAATCCTATAAATTGTTGGGAAAGTCCAACGTCAGACAGTAATTGCATCATCAGCAACACAGTATTACATTCACAAAATGTGAAAAAAAATGCAACTATTAAGGTACACCCAGGGTGACAGGACATGAATGAGGTTTGGAATAAATAATAATATATTAATCCAGAAAATGTTTCTACTGAATAAATAAACAATGAATCAACATGTACATGTATTAAAATTTTGAAACAAAGGAACAATATTTCAAAGCCATTTACAACGTCAAGAAGTGCCAATGGACGGTACTGTAAAATACTCATTTTCCAATGTCCAATTTGGCTAACACTTTGGCTATACAGATAACTTAAACTTCAAGTAAAGTTTCAATAAAATCAGAATGTCAATGCTTGGCCAAAACGAGCCGAAGCCCTCCCTTTGTGAGATTTTAAAAGACAAAAAATCCCCTCATTAGGGCATTAACCGTAGTTTGCATAGAGCAACTGAGCAATCTGTCTCAATCCATGTAGTCATGTCCCAAAAGTAGAAATATATGTACACGCACTTCTTTTCAAGGTTCAAATGGTAACTACGAAGGCATAAAAACTGCATCTTACATGGCTAAGGATTATAAACCACTGATGCTGGCAACATTGATATTGCAAACAAAGGAAACTTTCTACAGTCATCTGATCAAGGCTCACTCTTCCACAATTATTTTCTTATTAACAATTTGCCGGTGGTGGACCTTGTTAGTGTTGGTCAATTCCAGTATTTTTGGAAACAATTTAAATTCCATCCAGGAATCCATTTCAGCTTTCAATGGTAAGGGTGGAAATTTACGTTTGATTTCAAAAACGTTTAGAAAGCTTTCCCATACTGTTTACATGTTTAAACGTTTAGCCAACACTTTACAGAGGCCGCTGCTGCCTACCTCGTTCTGATGCATAAATATATAGTTCAACAATGCACATGGTTCAATCTACATGTACATGTACATGTATGTATAAATGTAGATTGATGTTGAGGCATTTAAAACAAGTATTGTTTATTATTTAGAATCCACTTTTTCCCCAAAAGTACATGGGAAAAACTAGTATGTCAAAACCAGTACATAACAGGCATCGTTTACAATAATAATGAATGCCACATTGCGTCAATTAAAATGTCAAACCTCTAAAAAGGGTGGTTCCGTTTAAATGTTTTGAAAAATCTGGTCACGAACAGATTGGAACCGAATCAGTGTCACCAGCCACAAGTGCACATGCAGTCTTACAGTATACATTAAAAAACAAATGATCCCATTTGTTGACCCACCCTTATTCACTAGCAACAATTACAAATTTGCAGGTTGTGTGCACAATGATTTAATTACTCAATGTAAGAATTCATCAAGACATTTAATCTGTCTCTCTATAACATGACTGATTAAGATTGTTGGAATTCTGGTGTTTCATTTGTAGCACAAGATTAAAGGAAACTGAACATACATACATGTACATGTAGGCCTGTGTAATCCATTCTGCATTTGTTTGGCACCTTCCAGAACTAAGTCTCAACAACATGCAATTATTCACTATGGGGACCATTTCCTAATAAAAGTGGAATCACAACTCCGCATCTAGAATTCTGATCAGCCAACAAGACAACGTCTTTTCAGAGTGTTATCAGAGCGACATGCACATGTATTTATATCACACTTGACTGAGACATGGTCAACTGCGCTGTATATTTACATTTAACTTTGACACACAAAACCATCAACTACAGTGTTTTGTGCATGAAAAGCAATGCGTAAACAGGAAGAAATAATGCTTGTCAGTGGATAAATGTACGTTACTGCACACACTGACCAAGATTACGTCAGTAGACAGAGGGTAGCTTGGTCGACTAGTATTCATAGGACCTACATGTAGAGCATAAGCAGTAATGTGCAATTCAGTAGAATTTGCTTCAGTAATGAAGTAAATCTGCTTAATACATGTACCTTAGATAATAAATTAATACTGCTAAAATGCTGGATGTACATGTATACTAAACATGTTAACACCTCACCCACAAATTTTGTCTTTTGATAGGCTGAGACCATCTCGTTTTTTTCAATTTCTATATCATCCTTAAATGTACATGTACCGTGCATGGTACATGTAGATGCTATGCAAAGCACTACAGTACTACACTCTAGGTAACTACATAGTCCCGTGATTTAGATCTGCAAATACAGATACCCACAAAGTTGGATGGCAGCACTTTCTTTTATCTTAATTAAGGTACATGTATGTGTGGATTTCAAGTTTTCAATTACTAGACTGTCTACAACTGCAGAATCTGTGGGTGAGATGTTATGAACAAATGCTGACTGCTTTAAGTGGCACAATAAATCCAGCCTTCCTTGTAGATCAACTGTACATTGCATTTTTCCTTAGCAAAATAAAATGATCAATTGATCACCCTGGGAGGATACTTTCACTATGCTGTTTGAAGCAGTCAATTTTTGTATGACATATTTGCATGACATTTTATGTCTGCTTGTGGTGTTGCACAGCGCAGTAGAAAGCTGCCCCATCTTCAATCAAATGATTTTGTTCAGTGCCAGGAAACTTTTGGAATAAACTGAAACTTTATTTCATTCTTTGAGTCAGCAGACCCAATGAAGCTGCAAGTACGCTGTAACTGTATGAATTCACACATTTCTTTTGGGTACAGACACACACATTAGCTTGAAGCCCATGACATTTAATACACCATGCCGTCACAATATCCAACCAAACTTACTTACTTACTCTTGCACCTTGAACATACATGGACATGTACTAGTACATGGACATGGACTAGTACATGGACTACTACATGGACATGGACTAGTACATGGACATGGACTAGTACATGGACATGGACTAGTACATGGACTACTACATGGACATGGACTAGTACATGGACTACTACATGGACATGGACTAGTACATGGACATGGACTACTACATGGACATGGACTAGTACATGGACTACTACATGGACATGGACTAGTACATGGACATGGACTAGTACATGGACATGGACTAGTACATGGACTACTACATGGACATGGACTAGTACATGGACATGGACTAGTACATGGACATGGACTAGTACATGGACATGTTTTCACAAGCCTCTATCTTTCCTTAATTCAGTATTTTATCAATCCTTTCCACCAGGAGAGCAAAAAACCCATGGTTGGCTTTTTGTAACATCCTTGGTAAGATAACATCCTCTGGGTGCGTAGAAACCACACAAAGCTTAGCTAGTTTTAATCCAAATTTAAATGTACAAAAGTGACTGACTGAATCTGATCAATCAATATCAAACTTACACATGTACATGTACATATCTCAACATTCAAGCCTGTGTGAGTGAACAGGTGAGATTGCCTATTTTCCAGGGTTAAGCTCAAGCAGACTTTGTAATAATGCAGAAAAGTCTGTGACTGGCTCTTGGGGATCAACCTTGACCTCAGTTCTGACCTTATTCTGAAACAGTCACTAATTTACAGTACTTGAGCCTGAATACAATTGTGACAGTTCTCCGACAATGTGGCTTTCAACAAGAGATTCACCACAAAAGTAGAGTGTCCATATTTTGCATTGTAACAAAACATATTTATTGTACATGTATGCTGCGTAATAAGTGAAATACAAGATACACTGTTCATGTACATGTATGTAGGTTACTCCACTCCAAGTACAAATGTTTTTGACTTTACCTAGTCAAGTCAAGAGACTTTTTTGTACAAGGTTCGCATCTGTATTTCGAACACAAAATATAGTAAACATTTTGGCCATCAAGATTTAGGTCTTACATGTATGTGTTTTCCACCGATTATATGCAGAGTAAATGCCATTCGATCTAAACACTTAAGTCCGCACATGCTGCACTGGAATGGGTCCAATTGCCCGTGGCAACCCATGTGTACAACATACATCAGACTTTCTTCAAATGTGATTCCGCAGTGGGCACAGCGCCACTTCGTGTCAACGTCACCATCAGGGTTGTCCTTACTATGCTTCGCTATATGCTGGGCAGCCATCTCTGAGGAGCTGCAGTCAGAACTGTTACCCCCAGGTTGCAAGGCACTGTGCATCTTATCGCCACTGCGATATGCAGTGTTTTTGTGAAGGGCTGGCTGTTCTTGACTAGGTAACCTACTTGAAGAACAAGACTTGTTCTGTGAAACACCGGCTGTGGCACCCTGTGACTGTTTCATCCTGGAGGCATGATGCTGACTGGTATAAGTTGGGCTCATCTCCAGGATCGACGCAGTGCTTGGGCTCCCAGATTCAGAGGAAGCTTGGTTTAATCTTGGGGTTGAGGTATCACTACTTCGTGGAGGCGTCAAGGGAGGGTTGATCTCCTCCAGAGAATTGGGATCCACGATGTCTATTCGGATTTCTGAGGTTTCTTTCACCATTCTGTCCCCGTGTTTCCAGCCACTATAGAAAGGACGGTGCATGCGATGTCCCATCCTCTTGTCCCGTTTGCTGTTGTCCATGGGAAATAATGACCTCCGTGTCTCCTCTACTGGTTCCGTGTCACGGCCAACCGTAACATGCACCTCTGAACCACAACCACTATCATCAAGACCAATAGTGCCTTGACTGACATCAACCAATTCATTTGAACACTGAGGTTCTTTCAACGCTTCATCCTCACTGTCCACTACAGTGACGATGTTGGTTGAGGAACCCTGTACAGCCGAATTCTCCTCCAAAGCCGGTGGATCATGTTGACCAGGGGAAGAATCTTGACTATCATCTTTCTCATTAAACCAATGTTGCTTTTCCAAGGATGCTGGGTGCCTAGACTTTTCAAGCATCAAGCTGTTATCCTTGCTGTCATTAAAGCTTCCCTGCTCAATGTTGGGATTGGAAGAACTGCCATCTCTTTGAATGTTTTGAAGTTGGCTTACATCCTCTTGTTGGTAATAGGGGCCAACGTGATAGGACTCAGGAAGACTTACATTCTCGGTTCCATAAATGTAACCAGCACAGTTGTTTGGAAACACAACATTTGCAGAAGACTGGACAGCCTGAGACATTGCAGAATTCTGTACAGTTTGTTCCTTCTTTGCTTTGGAGTGTTCATTTTCCCGATGCAACTGTAAGCTAACTGCATCATTAAAGACAGCGTAGCACTTCCTGCAGAAAAAGCTGGCCTTGGACTGCCCCTGTACGTGGCGCTTGAGGTGCAGGTTGAGCGTGTGTTGTCGCGTGAAAGCCTTCCCGCAGATGCTGCATTTGAATAGCTTGATGCCGCTGTGGGAGCGTGTGTGTGTCAGCAGCGTGTACCGCCGTGTGAAGCTCTTGCCACAGTATTCACACTTGTACATCTTGGAGCCGTCTCCGTGCACCTGCATGTGCAGTTTCAGGTTGTAGCGGCGGGTGAATTGCTGACCGCAGATATTGCAGGCGTTCACGCAGTTGTGCCTCAAGAGGTTATGCTTCTTGGCAAAGCAGCGCTCACAGCGTTTGCACTTGTAATTTTCTCTGTGCTCTTCCTGCCAGTGTATGGAAAGTTCATACGAGGAGTTGAAGCTGGAACTGCACTTGACACACTTGTGGGCCATATCTCCACCAAATCCACTCGGCATGTCACCGGGAGTCAAAGCTGTCAAATCCACACCTTGTCGAAGGTAGCTAGAAGAAAATGATGCTGAGGTACTACAAGATGGTGGAAATGTCACTGTAGCCTCTGACGGTTGGGACAAGCATGGAGTTGTTAGCTGTTGGGATGGCAATGTTGTCACTTCTGGATCTCCCGACTGTAATAGGGATACAGGAGGATCGGCCACCGGCTCAGCTACAGCATCATTATCCACACTGGATTGCTGGTATTCCTCATCCATAATGGGGCTGTGCTCCAATTTGCTGAAAAAATATTAACACAAGTACAATTATTAGTCCTAAGAGGAACATTGTTTATATCACTTTCATGTATACAGTATGTAAGCAATTTTATACCAGAGCCATCAGCTACCAAAGTCCTGGGAATGCCAACTCGGCACTCTCTTGTTTTTTTCCTTTTTATGACGTACAAATTCATACCAGAGATGTCATGAAATATGATTTCATAATCCTGACCTAATTAACCCTAACCTAGTACATGTATCTATCACTGGGCAATCAACAGCAGGTAAACAAACTGCTGATATTGAGACTATGCGAGCTAGATTCCCATTGAACAATGTCACAATTGGATCCTACATGTATAGTGGCAGGCAACCATACAAGTAGACTCTTCATTTGACATACATTGTACGTGCACTATATGATGCAAATTTTGCAGGGTTTCTAGCCCAAATACCCAGGAATGCTAGGATAAAAACCATTCCTCCTAAGTCCTTGGTACCACTTTCCATTTACATTTGTAAATCTCACATGAAATTCCATACAGACATTTGTAAGGACTTAGGTACTTGCACTAGAAAAACAAAGAAAAATTCCCACACATTTGTCCTTAGGCAGCAGCTGGATACATGAATACGCCTACTGGTGACATACATGTAGTGCTACAAATTCAGGTCACACTCTGTAAGCCTATACTGTTTCACTATAAATGTCCACATCAATACTGAACTACCACGGCCAAATGGTTCCCAGACCAAAGAGATCCTGACTGTGTTTATCACTCATTCAATGACTTGGGAATGAATCGGTGTAGTAAACGAATGGCCATGTTGAGACGACAAGTTAGAGATCAAAACATCAATAACAGAGAATAGCCCTAAATGTACTAATGGTGACTTAATTACCAAATCGGGTGAGTGAAGCCGTGTAAGAAAAATGGAGCTCAAACAAAGGGTTTTCACAAAGTCCCCATTTTTGAAAGGAGGTTGGGTGTAGGGCCAAGGATACGAAGGGAGTCCAATAGACTGGCCCTAGTCTGGTGCTAGGTCATTGGTATTAGGCCACTTGTTAGTTGTACATGTCCATGTCTATCTTTCTATCTGTGTAAGTTTGTGAAAACCTTACAGTTCAAAGTTCTGGCAGTAAGGCCATCAGAATGAACATCTCGAATTTCCATGCACTGCTTGCATACCGCTGAAATGGCTGCCAAAACTATTCCTTCATTCAAAAATTTCATTAGGCCTATTTAAGCAAAATCATTATTTTTTCCATTGGAAAGGGCAAAATATGGCCGCATGGTAAAAAGAGTTTATAAATCCAACAAAAAAATTGTATGCATAAAAATTAATCACTGCCTTTGTTTGGACATGTATGCGCTATGTAATCAGTGTACGGCACATGTATACCAACTATGATCAGCCCTTAGGTGTGCTGTTCTGCATGCGAGAACATTGCAATGCAAGTGATCATTAATATTAGTGGGCCTATCTTCTTTGCAGGTATGGGAAGATGACTAATAGCATAACAGGGGTCACTTTCTTGTCTAAATAATGAAGTCTCATCTGCTCATCCATGTACATGTAGGTTTTCCAAATTTCTAGATGGCATTCCGGGATGTTCATAGTCAGGATGGGAATTTACATTTGATTGGAAAAATATTTACAAAAACTTTCCCATGCCATTTAAACATTTAGCCAATGCTTTACAGAGGCTGTCGCTGCCTAGCTTGGTGATGCATAATTATACAGATCAACAATGCACATGGTCCAACCTATGTAAAAAGTGTAGATATAGATTGATGATGGGGCATTTAAAACCAGCGATGTTTAATGTTTCAGAAATCAGAATCACCCTTTTTTCTCCAGAAGTACATGGATGCTGAAAGGGGAAAAAACAGTATGTTACGGGCATCGTTTACAATAAAAGTGAACGCCAGACTGCATCAATCGAAACAGCAAACCTCTAAAAGGGGCCCTTCAGATTAAACGTTTGGGAAAATCTTAAACACATAAACATCCCAGCCTTAGTTCATAAGCCTTATTGCTAATACTGCATGGGTGATCTTGTACAATGGCAGAAAGACATTCCTTCCCACACTGCCTTTCCACCATTGTGCAATGATGCATGGCAGTATAGTCACCACCCAAATCTGAATTTTGGCCTAAATCTTAACACTCATATAGTTTTGTTTTGTTTTCAGGTTATAACAAGATACTTTGATACCAGTAAGTCTGCTTCCATCGCGACGCGGTTCATTCATCCTTGACGTAAAGATGTCTTTCTGATGATAAATTTAAGGCGGCCATGCTTAGGTGGCCACTTTAGGGCTGCATGTGTGCTAATTTGCCATGAGTTAAATGTGCCTGTTATTCTGGAAAATCAATAGCACAGATGACAACTGCATACTAGGTGCAAACGCTTTGATGCCCCTCCAGAAAAATGGAGGGTGGATATATACATGTATTTATTACAAAGCCAAATGATGAGTCACGTGCATTGCTATAGGAGGAGCCTCATTTTCATTCAAAAAACCTGGGCAAATAAATGCACCCAGTGCCGCAGAGTTTTGGCAATGCAAACGGGTGAAAATCTTGATTGGTTGCATTCTGCTTGGGACGAAATCATATTTAGAGGGAGGGGGGGACCAATAGCAAATAAATTTCACAAATTTCACTATCTAATGCCTCTTCAAAATGATCTATTGGCATAGTGGAGTAAACCTAAAGAAACTGCAAAGCAACTTTTTCAGAACGTACATGTAGGTGGGACCCAACCTTGAATGACATGTGGTACGCTGCTTCACACCGTCGCCTGAGCGGTCGAAACAGCTCATTTGCATATATGCATGATTGGTTGAGGTTGGAAAATGCTCTAGCATGAGGTCAGAATAACACGTCTGCTTTTGGGTGAATCAGTTGGCAAACTATCAATCATAAAATCTTTGACCAGTAAAGAACAACTAATTAAGACATACAGCATGCAAGGGAAGAGTTCCATATATGGACACCAGGCTACAAGGACCTATTAATAGCCGTCAGAAAGAAAATCATGTCCAGAAAAGTTCCATTTTGGAGGGAAAAACCAAGTTGTTTACCTAGAAAACACCTAGAATTTTCCGACCAGTCCCATAGGGTTTGTGCACAGGGTGTCAAGCGGTGTCTGTATATGGAACTCTTTCCAAACATAGGTCTACAATCCTTCTTGCTCTGGTGGTGACTATACCGTCAGGCACATTATGACCACAATTAGAAACATGCCAAATGAGTGAGGGTGCTGTTTATTTGGAACTCATTTTCTTAAATAGGAAATTGTGATTAAAATTTTGTTTTTTTCCTACATGCTCTGGTTTCTCTATCATCTCTATTTAATTTCCAATTTCGTGTTTTTTTTTAATTTCCAGAGAAGCCAACTACTTAATTCATTGAAATAAGGCACGAATAAGAACAAAGATTTTATGACAATAAGAATGATAGGCCTATGGATTTTAAGCATTTCAGTGAAATTGCACACTCATTTTTGTGTATACAAAAATTAGTTTGCTCTGCATTACACATTTACAAAAAATGTTCCCAAACATCTCAAAATATCCTTACTTTAAATCAGTATTTCTTTGCTTTGCAGGGACGGATAGAATCCAAAATTATAATATCAAAATGTATCTTATGATATTCTCTCCAACTCCAAGATTAAGTCAAAAAAGAAAACAGACAAAAATAGGCCCTAGGCCTAGTTGAAAAAATTATGAGCCTCCCTACCACAAATGGCATGCGATATTATTTATTGAAAGAAACAACTTACGCCTACCCTGTTGCCTTCCGTGAGGTTCGACAGAATGACTGAGGAAATTCAGATCAAACGCAGGCCGTGCTGCAGCAGCAACAATTTGACACAAAACATGCAAAACTGGGTGACTAACTTTAGTACTCATTTGCCTTCTTATGGTTAACCTGCAAAATACTCTAGCGCCCTCAAGCGACTCCATTCTTAACATTTCACCAAGTGCCCTAACGTCGGGCATGCATTTGTACTGCGCGACGGTGAGGCATCGAGTGGTATTACCGAGTTGCTCATCTTGCGCCGATCTTTGATTTTCACTATTTGTCCCTCAGTCTTGATTTTCCCAGCGGGTAGATTTTATATGTATTTCCAAGTAAATGAGAGGTCCTCAGGTTTCACCCAAGAGTTTTTGGTTGTTTGTTCCGAGATTTAACTTGCTTTGAGTACACGCCCCCGTTTTTACACCTGAACTATTGGTTTTTCCTTTTTATAGCTTTACGGCTCTCCATGGCTTTTACTCAAAGTTGATAAAAATTTCTTGTTTGTGCGATTTGTTTCTTATTGACATCCAATTTCTGTCTTGTAGTTTTGCTTAGTCCGTCGCACTTTATTATTGTTAAATACTTCCGTTACGATAACTTTTTTAAACGCGTTTTATTAATTTATTTACTGATCTCTTCTTTATCCTAGGTAATCCATTCAGTGAGCCAGTTCACTGATCTCCCATGGATCCCAGCTTATACACCTTAAGAATATTAAAAATATCAATATTACAAGCAAAATTTTAAACAAGGATTAAAAGTAGCAAAATAGATAAGAACTCGTTGTTCAGATTTAACCAGAAGAAATTGCACAAAATTCACAAAAATAGACAAAATACCACTCGGGGCAATGTACCTCAGCACGATTATGCAATACAATAACATCACAAAATATACAGGAAACTAATTAAGTTGTCTTAACTGTCGGACAAAAAATGGACGCTTGTTGGACGTGAAGATTTCAGATGTTGTGGTAAGTTATTCCATGTCTGAGTTTTGACTTATAAACGCACTTTTTTCGTTAACTAAACACGGAATGGCAATACAAACAGATCTCATCATCAGCAGTTTCGTCACCAACGCACAAGTTCTGCAACAACATTGGTGAGCGCGGCACTATACTGGCGGCGGAAGGGGACGCAGCTCGCAGAGGGGCCAGTAGCCCCCCTCCCCCACACTTTTTTTCGATTGGGGGACATCCCATCCCCTTAATGCATACCTGACGGTCGCAGAACTCTCCCCCCCCCTTGAAAATCGTTCTGCCACCGGTGGCGCACGGCACGGTCCGAGAAGTCTAACAAGTGGAGGCGCTGTTCATCAATTAATCAACTATCTCGTATGGTCTGGTTTCCGCCGCTAAAATAGTGCTAAAAGTCGAAAGTGGGAGTCCAGACACCTGTGTCCTGGACTCGGCAAACAGTTGCCCGGTTACATGAAAACGAACGTGTTACTGTGCTGCTGGCTCAGGGAACTTGTGAAAGTAAGTTCTGTTCTTCATCATATAATCAGTCATACTGTATAAATAATTGTATGTCACTTAATAGTGACTTATGTACAGTTTAATATATTTTTTTTATTTGACAGACGTTTATTTAATGTTGTTCATACCATGGTTACAGAGTAGAAGACGAATTAAGTTTTACAATAGTCATGATAGTTTGCCTTAGAATGTACAATGTCAAGCAGAAAGATAAAGTACACGTTAAAGAACAACATTTAGGTAAAGGTTGAAGCATGCATTTGCTTTTGTTCCCTAACCTATTGACAGACATACATATTATAACATAGGACAATACAAGACATGAACATGTTTTTGGCAATGATACACATACGGACAAACACTGACAGGCAGGAGATAATACAACGCATCAAAATACAATTCCACAGGTGATATATGCAGAAAGAATTATATTTTTCCACATTAGAGCAAATGCTAATAAAGTGGGCGCTGCTTTTATAGTTTCATTTAGGCTATTCCAGTATTGCACACCGCATTGTACAAGACTATTTTGTGTCATGAAGTTCTATTGGTATCAACATACATTGTATAATTTCTTTTGAGAGATACTTCTGGTATGATATGAGTGAACATTTGACGTAAGTTTAAAGTATGATTTAAAATACAGTGACAGCTTATCATTCATACATTTATACATAAATTTACCTAACTGATATTTATTATGGTCAAATACCTTTAGCACTTTATGTTTTGACAATAATGGGACCGTGTGGTCATAATATCCAGCATGAGAAATTATTCAGTGAGAATAAAAGTAAATTATTTTGTAAGGTGTACAATTGGTCACAATTAGATAAAGGACCTCCCTATGTCAAAATAGAATAATTCAAATACGATTGCACAAAAGAATTGTACTGAGTTAACAGAATATTACATGGGAGAAAAGACTTTAAACAATTCATTATACTAATACATCTTGATACTTTACTCGAGACTACACTTATATGACTCTTCCAAGATAAGTGCTCATTTATATTTATACCCGAAAATGTTGAACTTGTTACTTTATTCAACGTTTTGCCATTTAATACCAAAGGGAAAGTTTGAATGTCTTTTTGTTGTTTAGTACAAAATATCATATAATTAGATTTGGCTAGATTGCTGCACAGTTTGTTGGCTAAATGTTTGTTAGCCAAACGTTTATTTTTGTGAGTTCAGTATTTAAAATCTGAACAGCTGTATTAACATTATCATGACTATATGATCATCCACTGCCCCCTTTTTTACTTCAACAATTGTGTCATCTCACTACGACAGTACGATCGCACTGTTATTCAATCATTGAATGATTGACAGTGTCATGCATGACGAATTGCCAGTGTTAATTGGTATGATTTTATCTTATCTTTTTCACAGTTAGCCAGTGATGCTGTCATCAGTCACATGACTCAACGATCCAGGATGGATGTATCTGCTAAGTTAGAAGCCTCTACAGCGACAGAGACTGCCTCTGAAAGCAGAGACATCTCAGAAATGAGTCAAATGGCTGAAGGAGAAATGGCACAACAAAATGGGAATATGGTCTCGGAAAATACCCCCCTTCACAGTAATATAGAGATGGAAGGAGAGAATTTTAATGATGAAAAAGATGCATTCATCACTCAGGAACTCAACAGGAGATCCTATGATGCACGCCATGGTATCAGTCCAGAGAAAGTCTCCTGGAGGGCCAGCATGAATGGTGTATCAGATGAAGCAGTAGGGGATAAGCAGGGAAAGCTGAGTTTGCTGCGAGAAGTTCTGGAGAGTGCATCCATGGAGGATCTCAACTCGCAGGTGTTCTTGAGTCCCAACGGCAAGTACTGTCTTGATCTGAGTGATCAGGCTCTCACAGAAGTCCCACCAAAGACATTCCAACTGAATTACATCCACTGTCTTCTTTTGAATAACAACAGTCTATGTGACATTCCTGAGCAGATCCACCAGCTGAGCTGTCTTGAAGCTCTTGTTATACAGGCATGTGGACTGACCAGCTTCCCTTCAGAGCTTTGTCAGCTAACAAACTTGGAGGTTCTTGATCTCAGTGGTAATGACATTCAAGAAGTACCAAGTGATGTTGCAGCCTTGAAGATGCTCCGCCAGTTCCACATGAATGACAACCAGCTGCAGGAATTGCCTGATGAGTTCTGCATGTTGTCAGAAATAAATGTCATCAACCTCAGCCAAAACAAGTTGGAGGCACTACCACTACAGTTCAATCAGCTACACTTCCTGAGAATTCTTGGTCTGAATAACAACAACTTCAGAAAGTTTCCCAAGCAGGTGTGCTTATTGGACCAGTTGGTTCAGCTCAGCATGAGTGGAAATTACATGCAGACACTGCCAGCTGACATTGGGTACCTGTTCAATCTGAGAGAACTCAATTTGGAGAAGAATGCATTCCGAATCCTCCCTGTGCAGGTGTACTGGCTTCCCGAGCTGCAAGAACTCAATGTTTCACACAATCTCATCACAGAGATTTCCAGCGAAATTAGACATCTTGACAAGTTAAAAACATTAGGACTGAACAGCAATCAGTTGGAGGAGATTCCCGATGGAATCCAGCATCTGACAAACCTAGAGATTCTTGGCCTTGACTCTAACAAACTCAGCAAACTTCCAGCCATTGTCAGATATCTCAGTGACCTGTCGGAGCTTTATCTTGGACAAAACTGCCTGGAAGAAGTACCAGATGATTTGTGTCTTCTCCACAATCTCTTCATAATTGACCTCTCAGGGAACCAGTTGATGGGCCTGCCAGTTGAAATTGCCAATTTAAGGCATCTGAACCAACTTCTGCTTCATGACAACAAGTTCCAAGTTCTTCCAGAGGGAGTGTGCTCTTTATCAGAGCTTGAGCTCCTCACACTTGATCAGAACAAGTTGACAGGTCTCCCCAAGGAAGTAGAGAACCTGTACTGTTTGCGGCAGCTAACCATGAACAAAAATTGCCTGGGGACATTTCCAGTTGAAGTCTGTGAAGTTCAGATGTTGGAGTACCTTTCTTTAACAGAGAATTCCATATCCTCCCTTCCATCTGCAGTCACAAATCTGGTCAACCTCCGTCAACTAGACCTGAGCCACAATCACTTTGAGAACTTTCCTGAGGAGCTCTGCTCTCTGTCCTGGCTTCGGAAACTCGTCATGTCTGACAACCGGCTAATGGACATGGCAGATGATGTGGAAAAGATGGAGCTGCTGGAGGAGCTGAATCTTAACAATAATTGCTATGGAATGTTTCCACTGCAGCTCTGTGGCCTTCCTAATCTAAGAATCCTCCACTTCTCCCAACCGGAAGGCACTAAGATCAGTTATCTGCCGTCCACTATCCAAGTGCTCCAACACCTTGAAGAGTTAGATGTGTCACACAATGCCTTAGAAGGCCTCCCATCAACGATATCACAGCTAGAGAATCTGATCAAACTGGATGTCACAGACAATCGTCTGGTAGAGCTCCCAGAATCCATATCCCAGTTGAAGCACCTAGAAGAGTTCCACCTGGAGGGCAACATGCTGCGGCAGCTGCCAGTAACATTTGATGGCTTGACTAACCTGACTGACTTGAGGTTGCAGGAGAACCCACTGTGCCATCCCCCTACTGATGTCTGTGATGGTGGAGCCATGGAGCCTATAACACGATTCCTGCTCTCAGCTGAAGAGAGAGCAGGTGTGTATGACATATATTTGTAAAATCTGATAAACTTTAAATATTAATGATTCTGTTTCCACTGACACAGGCAGCAGCCACAGTTTGTTCCATGAAACTCATCTGTTTACATGTGTGGGAACTAAATATTTCCCTTAATTATCCTGAACAAGTCTCCCATGGAGCCACCATTTTGACAAGCTTGAAATTATTTTGCTCATGATTAACATATTGGACTTTAGAAGTGCAAAAAGAAGTTTGAAGAATTTATTGACAGTTTAACAAAAAGCAGTTTTCACATCTACATGTAAGTAAATTTGGATTTTAAAAATTCATTCAGTGAGCTATTTATGACTGATTTAACATTTTATTTTGCAGCTGTTCTTCTTGAAAAGATGTTCCAGTGTGTCGCAGCTAATGTCCGCCAGCGTGAGTTGCATGACCTCATGCGTGTCTTCCACTTCAGCAAAGAGGAAATGTCGCACATTGAGAAGACGTACAAGAATGATCCTCCCGAGGTTATGATCTTTGCTACACTGAGGAAATGGCAAGACATGAAGGGGCGGGCGGCCAATGGAGATGAGTTGGCGAGATACCTGCGACTGATTGAAATGCCAGTTGTGGCAAGTAAGATCAAAGCCATGAAGGTCTACTCACAGGCGCACAGGCTGTGAAGTCTGCAGGTGTCTCCAGGCATCAGGACTTGAACTTGAGCCCTCAAAATTGGTCTGAGGTCACAATCATGTTTGAAATAGTTTACCATGTCATTGCTTGGCATTTTGCTTTCGCCTTGTAGGGGAGAATCAAGATCCCCACAGTGTGCAATGTGAAACAAAGTAACTGCCTTCAATGGCTTATGCCACAAGCCCTCAAAGATTGAACAATTAACCTGTTTGTGTCCGAGTCCATGTAAAAGGATCAGACAATCTATATAGGGGTGGCTGACAGGTAAAATGCAGACTGTTTGTTGAGTCTCCTACAGTGGACGTGTGTACATGCCCGATACCCATTTGTTGTGTATACACACAACATCCAGGCCAGTCAGAAATGAGTCAGCAACTGGTTCAAATGTTCAAAAGTTTGCAGTGAAACTGAAATGACTTTTTTATCTTTCAGACTTGGTATATTCATATTTTTCTACACAGCTAGCATTAAATACATGTATATTTAGCTTCCTAATCGCTAACATAATTCTTTGCCCAGTGTGAAACACTCTAAAATTTTAATGTCTTTATTCAATAGAAAAGATATCTCACTATGTGTGCTAGTTTTTTAATGCCCTGCCAATGAAGTCCAAGGGGCATAGTGTTTTCTGCCCTTTTCTGGGTGGGTGTGCATGCGTGTCAATGTGTCCGGAAGATTCTTGTTAGCACGATAACTTCAGAAAGACTTCATGTATGAACTTCAGATTTGATTTGTGCATTGCTGTTGATAATCCTAAGAAGTGTGTTGCATTTGGGGCCGAAAGGTCAAAGATCAAGGTCACAAGTGCTAAAACAACAAATATTATTGGCACAATAAATACTTCCCATGGGAATTTCAAATATGGCTTGAGCATTGTTTTGTGTAGTCCTACAAGCCTTTTGCATTTATAACTTGAAAGCTCAAGTGTAAAGGTCATAACTGCTGAAGAAAAGTAAGGCAATCTGTTTGTGATCCTAAAATACAAGTTGATGTAGGCATGCGCTTGATGGGGCATTTGCGTTTGTTTTAAAGAAAAGTACCTGTGTTTAACAAAAATGCTTGACATTACCTTAGCCTTTCAGGCTCAACAAAATGATAAGGTCCCTTTTGTAAGTGCGTTGCAGTCAGTGAAATGTGACAATGGTGAAAAACGAGGTACAATGGCCCCCCCAGGGAATTTCTAGAACCTCCTTGGAATTGTATTCAACACTTGAGCCCTTCTAACCTACACCGGTATTTTAACTAAAATAATTGGAAAAAAACCAACAGAAGTTAGCAAGAAAAACCAAATTAAAATCCTATTAAAGGTCAGTCATATTAAGTATTACGATGGCATTGAGTTAATTAAAAAAATATAGTTTTACCATGGACATTCCTAAGAATCCATAAAAATTCTTTTTAAACATTTAACTTTTTGGAGCGAAATTGAAAAAAAATACACATACCCTGCAGTAATTTTCAACTTTATTTCAACAGCATGTCTTTGTACGTGTATTTCAGTACAGTATCATGCATTAAATGCATGGTTCAGGACAGGTTATGTTGCCTTAAATTTGTCCTTAGCAGATTTTTACTTTCCATGTGAAATTACAGATACACATATGCAAAATGTAAATTTGTGAACAGGGTACCTTTAGAAATTAAGTTGGACTGAGAAGTTATTTATAGGAAATTGTTATATTATTTATAAGGCCAGAACAAAAAATTCATTTAAAAGAACAGAAGTTCCCATAATTATTTTAATGGTTGGTATTATGTCCATTGGTTCTTCCATATTTGTAAGTATTTGTGAACAAGTATGGAGTTTCTCACAACTTTGAAAAATGCTTCTCCATTGAGATTTATCTATGCCAGTGACCTGTTTATCATCATAAATGCTTAGGACTTGTGAAAGGGTTTTTGATAGCTCTCCTGATACTAAGACTTTTGGGATTTCCCTCCAGTTGATCTGAGGATGGACCGCTGTAGTTGTGCATCAACTGACATTTTTATAATCACAAAACTTTATTGAGAGGGCAAGGGTGAAAACCACTTTATGAAACAGGTTAAAAGTAGGGGTCTATGGAATTCTGTGTGGCAGCAGTGAGAGATTTGTTTTTGTATCTTGCAGACATCTATGCCTCCTTTGTGTGGAAATATTAGCCAACTATTTTTTATTTGCAGTTTTAAAAACGGAGCTTGGTTTCATTTACCAATTATCTGCAGACACTGTTGTAAAGATCCCAAATTACAAACTCACTACTTAGTCATGAACCTTGATAGGTTCTTTCCTGTAGTAGTTCCTTGATAGCAAGTTTGACTCTGTATTTTCTTGTATGCTCTGAAAAGAGGATTTGTTTTTATCTATCTTATAGTCCAGCTTTGATGCTAGCCATACATGTACGAAGGTATAAATTATATTACTGAAAATCATGTTATACAAATATCTTACAGTGCAGGTGTGTCAAGGTTCCAATAATTCCTTTACGAGCCCTCTAAAATGTTCAGAACAGATGTTTTAATTTTGTTCTAAACTTGAAGTTGAACTGGTATGTGTAGGTTGTGTTTTGCAGTGAAGATGTGTGAAATAAAGCACCAATTTAACTGCAGCCCTATTTTAGGAGGCATTCTGTTGCATTGAGAATTGTTTCAAGTATTAAAACTTCCAGCTTAAGTAATGTCCAGCTTATTCATCAACAAAAAAGGGTGTAAGCTTGAACAATGTTAAGGGGCAGTTTTCAATATATTCAGTCAAACTGCCCAATATCTTTTAGATTTGACCCACAGGAATGCTGAATATTTACTGTATCTGTTCATATATACCAATCTTAAAAAAATCAGGAAACATTGGATGGAAATGATACAGAGTTAAGTTTTCCATTTATTTACTTATTTTATATTGAAAAGCTGTTGAGGATACTGAAACAGTCATTTCGAGATAGACATACACAAGTCCCCCCAACCCCAAAACTGTTAGAAAGTGGACTTGACACCTATCCATGTGATGGGCTCTCGACCAATAGGAATAGGTATACTGTCTTACATATTTTTGCATCAGTGTTATATAGCCTGTAACACTGATTTATAAATAGGCAGGACAGTTAAGCTATTTCTATCAGTCGTGAGCCTGTTACATGGCCAGTCTTAAAGCACCGGCTGGCTGTACACACCTTACGCAGTACGCCCCCCCACACATGCCAATTTCTATATAAGGAGATTGCTTCTTACTGCTTTCAAGAGGAAAATAACCCCAACATGAATAGAGGGGCATTTTTAAAAAACCAAAACTAAAAATTTGAAACGTCATTGATAATTTGCAATTTTTAAACTTTTTAAAACTGACTCCAAAGATATTTATGAATTGCAATGTGCTTAGCAGGTACTTAATGCTTATGACTGGCCAAGTATATTTTATTCTCTTATTCAAATGACATATTCTATCATGGGTCAACCTGTTACATATGACCTGTCTTGTGCTAGAACTTGTGATAGACTCAACAACACCGCCAGTGACTCAGTTTTCACAGTGCCTCCATTCAACTCACATCCCCTCATTTGGTTCACTTCTCTGGCTTGACTGATTGTAGAGTTCCAAATGTTAACTATACTCGGACACGACAGTGAAACTTACCAACATGAATTACAACCATCACACCATGTTGTTTTTGAATTTATTTAATTACAAGTATGCACTCTCAATGTAATTATTCATGATCATTTCTTAGCACTCATATTCAAATGAAAAGCAGCCAATATTCTAATGACTCATTTGAAGACAGAACCTAGAAAAATAATTTACCGAAGAATCGCTTTGAAAAATTTGAATTCAAGTGTTTCTTTCTTGGGATATCATTTTCTGGTAAACAAATGATATTCAAAACAATAAATCCAAATTCAAGTTTTGTTGATCAGTGCAATGTATGAGTACACCTCACAATCAAAAATCAATCCTACTTTCAACCTGAGCACAGTGAAGTCGAAACTCAAACCAGTTTTCTTTTTAAAAATATTTTGAGTTAAGATGCCAAGCCCCTCTTTTGAAATTGTTTTGGCTTTTGATGACTGGTAAAGAACTTCAACATGGATACTTTCCAATCCCTGTAATGCAGTACCACCCCTAGACACAAAACCCATGCCATCTTGCTTAAAATATCACAACTGTACAGCTGTCTCTAGCAAAATTCCAACCCCAACAAAACAATACTGTAAGCTCCGCCCAACTTTCAATAACATTCAAAGACGCATCAAGTTACGTAGAAAACCTCAAACAGGTCACACTTTCAACTGACCACAATACCTAAAGACTGATTTATCTGATTAAGTGCTCAGCATTAATTTTTTTCCCCCAGGTAACCTTTCAAATAGTCTTGCACAGCTTCATCGTATTAAAGTCACAGACAAATGTTGGTGCAACCAGATTGAAGCTTTTCAATTGATTTCTCTTTTGTAAACAAACTGCCTTGTCACAGTCGATGCTAAACAGCTCTGAATTTCCCATACCTGGTCAGATTTGGTTACCTGTGCTATTCCACCAGCAAACAGGAGGATGTCGACATACATCTCTCCATTATCTACCTGTGTTGTATTATCTAGGGGAAGTACTGCTAGTGTGCACAGTGCCATTGAATCCTAAGGGATACATGTACATTGGTTTGTATAACATGGATATTTAGATCAATGCTTTGGAAACAATCTTTCCAACTGTGCATAAGTTGACCAATGTTACCAGAGGTAGCAAAAGGTAGATCTCATTGTGTATCACTGTATTCACACCCACATTCATATAATTGTTGTGTTCATCATCTCTAACTGTGGCCAACATGAACTGGCCACCCAGACTCCAAACAGTAACCTGTATTTATCAAGGGCATACCTACACCACGGATTTACAATGTACAACTCAAAGAGCTCCAACATCAATGAATATGAACAATTACAAAGTGTGATACCTAACCTTACAAGCTTTCCTTTTTGGCAGGAGAAGGTGTCAGGACACTCTTATTGCTGCTCTATCCACATAACTTCGTGCCATGCATATAAAGCTGCACAAAAGATCTGCCATGCATTTCCATCTTAGACTATAGCAAATCACCATACTTTTGTTAGATGCTCACTACACACAGGGGAGGAGGTGTTCAATTGTTCAGTAAAAACTTCAGAATGATGTGAATCCACATAGCAACATGGGAAACAAGTGGGAGTACTTCTCTTTTTGCTTCTAGTTAGCAGAATGGAACTGAGCACACTGCTCTACCAACACCCTCACGGTGCCCTATCAATACAATGGCCAAATACAAGCAATGATACAATTCAACAAGTCATATTTATGATTGAATAGTTTAAAGTCTAGACAAGGTAGTCTGCTTGGTAAACCGCCCAACAAAGATCACACTGGGATTATGGATAATCTGTGGTGGAAAATGGAACTTAAAAAATATCACATCCACACATAAATATAAAAACAAAACAAGACACAACTGGTTTTCTACCAATGTTTATCCCAAGCTCAAACCATGGCAAAATTCCTCCATTATTATTCAGAAATTCCTAAGATCACTGTCACAGTCCATACGCTCTGTTGTCAGAGTGCACAATTCTCACTGTAAACGTGGCATATGGGCCACTGGCAGTACAGGGAGAGACATATAATTTCAATTGTCAATTTCTGCATAGCTACATTTCACTAGAGATCTGTATTAATCAATGAACCTTTAACATTAAATACTTTGTAAGGTACAGTTACTGGATGTGACCCTCCAACACATCAATATCAATTCATTGACTTGATTGGGTTGTACGTTTTACTCATGCACCAACACTAACATTGGACATTTAAAAATTATTATTACACCTTAAAACCGTGGCTGTTCAGTGTGGTGACCAAAAAACCAAGTATTCAGTTGACAACCTTAAGGTCTATTTCACCAAATGTCACATTACTGGTGAAGCCACTTGAGTCGGAACCTCACACAATGGGCACAAAAGTTGTCCCCACTTTTCTCTGATCACTCAAAAGAAAAATCAGAGCATTATACACCTGTAGTTAATATGAACTTTCAGTTTGACTATGGCTTTCTGGGTACCATACAGAGGGGTGTCTACCCTAGTCATACACAGGAATATAGCAGTCGCTGGGTAGCACATCTGTTGTGGACTCTACATTACTCAATATCATCACAAGACAAAATTCAGTCTATTATGATTGCTTTCCGCTGTTGGATTCCTTACTTTTCCAATCTTCCAGTCTTCTCTATGGATTGCACATTTCTAGCTAATCTTTCTACTGGCCGATACAAAAGAGTTCTAGGCTTTATCCTATGGGGCCTATATTACCAGCATGGAGTTTATATTAAGAATATTCATATCAACTTTCCATTTTTCATGAGGGGGGAAAAATCATTTAAGAATGTGCTCAGTTTCTAGGACTGCTACACTAATTGTCGTCCTTACAAAAAAGCACCCAAAAACATATTTTAAACTAGCATTAGTGACCTTATATACTGTCTGCCATTGCATAAACTGACAAAAGGACTTCACACACAACTTTCAGATTACACAAGGCTTATTGTGATGGCTGGAGAACAAGTGTGACGGTATAATTATAAAGAAGTTTAAACCTGTCACTGTTATAATTTCTCCCAAATGTTGCCACTCTGATACACCATTTTTAAAACAAATTAACAGCTTCACAAAATGAATTTTGACTACATTCACTATGACATCAGGGAAACCACCAGTTGATAGAGACATCAGGGAAACCACCAGTTGATAGAGATATCAGGGAAACCACCAGTTGATAGAGAGGGCAGTTGACACTCCATGCAAAAGCGAAACCAAATGAGAATCTGGGTTGCCATAGTGAGTCTGTAGGTGCACACTGGCCGATGTTGAAGACACTCCAACTTTGGCAAATTTCACTTTGAACATTTTTTATCTACCATTCACATGAAACATGGGCCAACATTTTTCTGTTGTTAGGTTTGTTAATAAATATTACAATGGTTTGTAATAAACATTACATGCCAACAAATCTTGGACACATTCTCATCAATACAATGTAATTCACTTGTTGGTATTCTACTGTACTATGAAAATCCTGAAAAATGAACACAGCTCTTCGTGCCATGCACAGCATGAATAACAGTCTACTTGGTTTGAGGAAAACACTCACTCCTGAATCTTTACATTACTTTCTTAGGAAGGTGGGGATCCATACCTGTACAATGACAGATGAAACTACTTCTAAGGCTTAACTTTTAAATACGACAAAAATCTAACCCAGAACAACTAAAAACAAGCCACACAAACAGAATTTATAAATAAAATGTTGGAGACGTTGCACATTCTCCAAAGAGTTACGTTTGCCATGTGTAAGGTTGAAAACTGCCAAGAATCAATGAGGCATTGTCCCTCACATGCTACACGTACTTTGAATTATTAACAGTAACCACCTACAGTGACTTTGAACATTTGACAATATAAAGTGAGTTATGACTACACATTTTTACATGCAGTCTTGGCTAAATCCGGTTTCTGCTTTACCAAATCATGATGGCCTAATATCCAAAGTCCATGATGACATGGTCAAAGTATGTTTTAAGTAGCAGGTGTATGTTCAAATGTCCTTGGTTTTGTACAATATCCACAATTTTAACTTTAGTTTGCAATTTATTTATTTCATACAGTATGACAGCCAAACATGAGACAACCACCTCAAAGTACTTGATTACTTTTGAATGAATTACCTTAACTTGTGAAGGCTACTGACATGAACCTATCAAATGCAAGCTAGCAATAGTCAAGTACTTTCAAAACCAACTATGAAAACAAAGTTAAAGCTAATTTCCTTGGAAAGAGATTCTCTATACAAAAGAATTTAGCGATACTTCAAAAATCTAGTTTTGGTTAAATACATGTAGGTTTATCTAAAGTTTGGTTTTCCACTGAATCAAGCAGGGCTTTGGAGGAAAAGATAGTACTGAACAAAGTACAAGAAATCTCTGTCTTTCAATCTCATCATTACAGACCTCACAACTGTCTGCATTTGGTATGTTATTCATTTAAGTCATTACCTTAATATTACTTTTAATCATTAAAAAATTACTTTTAATAATGTGTTGTATGTCGTCTACTGCAGAATCACTGAGCTTAAAAAGTTCAATGTTAACTTTATGCACCTCAGACATAAAATAAAACAAAAACTGAACAGGTAAAATGGACTAAATCTAGTCATTGCAAGTTGCTGTCTAACAGTATTTAGGAGTCTTGCACACAAAAAGTAAAATCAAATAAAATGTCGGCTTACAACGTAAAACAGATCTTTCAACAGTATCATCACACTTCGATCACTCAGGTTTGGGGTATAGAAAGGATTGATGCATGCAAATTTTAAAAATGGCTTCTGACACACATCAACACACAGGATTCTCAGCATGTCACTTTGGTTAATCAGTTGGAATTAAGCCCAATACCAGAGCAGAATATTCCAACTTTACTCCCATGCTGATAACACACACATGCACATACATGTAGATCTCAGCAAAAACGGTGCATACATTTTTCACTGCTAAAGGTATCTACCTCAGTTTCTTGGTATTTCTTTCGGACAAAAACAGGAATTGCTCAAAACTTATCCACACCACCCAAATTCAACAACATAACTAAGTGATCTAAACAGCTAATGGGTTGGACGTCAATAGTTTATATCTGTCATGTTTGTATTCTCATAGGTACCTGCCCAGTGTCAGTGAAGTACCGTAGACAGTCAGGCAAACGATTTTGGATGCAATCTGCCACACCACCATATTCATTTTCAACTTGATGCTCTCTTCAAGCTGTCCAAGCTTTGCCTTTGCATTTAGCGCAAGAAACATCCTTTTTGTTTTTGGATTTTTTGGGGGGCTGATCCATTCTCACTTTCACACTGAGAATAAAATTTAATACTTTTATAGATTTACTCTACTTAGATATACTTCTTGGGTTGCTTTTATGAAGTCCTCTGTCTGGGGAAATAACACTGAATAATCTGTCCCCTGTACATATATACAAGTGTATACCCAAGCCGACGTTATTAAAAAATGCATTGTCGAAGAACTTATATACAAAAACGCTCCCTTAATGGCCATCATAAACATTCTATTTTTTTTGGTAATGGCCATGACATGAAACCCGTACCGTGATCAAGTACTCACAAAAACAGAAAAAATAATAAGAACCAAAGCATTCCAGAAATATCATTACAAAAATGACTTACATCATGATACTGGCATTTATACACTTATTCCAAAATTTCAGACCAGCCACCATGATAGCCTCTGGGCCAATATTCTCTGCCATTTTGTTACATTGTATCAATTTTTTTCACTTCACAACTTAAGAATGTTTGATTTTTTTAATCCCTCTGAACCCACACATTTATGAAGTTTCAAACTGGACTCATAGAAGTGTGGATTTAAAGCCTGTGTGAATAAACCAAACAGTTTTGGCAAAAAAATGCAAAACAAAATCCAATCTTAAGTAGAAAGAAAAAAATGTAAATTTTGTTTATAATCACAAACAAACAAAAAGATGACATTCCACGAAATATGAATATATAATGAGATGAGCTTCTCAGCCAACTCAAATTTTGCAAACCAAGTCCAATTTTTTAACCGTTTATCTCTTCAAGGTTATTAAATCAGTACAAGTCTAATATAAATGGACTCGGCATAATCAACCCCAAATATTGAGACTGTTGTGATCCCATGGCGCAATGAACTCTGAGCCGTGACTTTGGTATGATTACACAGATGTTTCGCTGTCACCGCCCACCGTAAACTTGGGCACACTGAAGGTGATCTCGCCAGATATGCTGCCTGTCGGCTGTCGGTAGGGAATAGTAGCTGCCTCCTCATCATCAATGGTCGGAAGTTTCTCAGTGTCAGGACTGAACTTCTCCTGCTTGAGTGGCATATCATGCATCCGTTTCTTTCTGTTGGAGGAAACAGTTGTAGACAAGAACATGTACCGCATATTAGAGTCATTGATGAGTGTGATGCATCAAAGTACCCTGTCTTCTCTTTCAAGTAGTTATTCTTTGTCCAAGGACACCCATCTCGCAATCACTTTTCACTTCAAACTGCTTTTTTTACTGATGTGTTCAATACATGCCGAACCTTGTTTTTTTGTGAACGGTGCAAACTTGTTTGTCAACATCTTCACACATTTAAACAATCAGAATTTTCTTTAGTTTGCAATCTTTATTTTAATCTGATTTTTTAAACTATGGTCAAAGAATTTTAAATAAACTGTGATCAGTTTCCTAATACTGTATTCAAACTATACTGAACTTTACGATTATTGTTTATTGCACGGAATTCCTCCCAATAAATAAATCAGAGAAAATCTACGAGCAACCATGCATGGTGCAGGTTTCTATTGCTATCAACAGTACCAAGGCATGGGCAAGGTAAAGGGCATAGGAGCGCCAATGACACCCATGAAAACATCAAAATGAGAGCATCGTAATCACAGTTTAAGGTATGCAATCAATGGAAGAGCAGCTTGGGATGTGGAAACAAAGACTTTGAATCCGGAAGAGTATTCTATCGAAAATGGGATTTTACTATACACAACTGTTGATTAGCAATATACATACGCATCGGTTTCATCCCTTCCACTGGCTTTCTTGCGTTCGGCCGCTGCTGCTTTCTCCCTAGCGTTGCATGCTAATGTCTTCCAGATACCAGTCTTAGCCATCTCTTCTGAGATGTTAAGGGTGCCGGACTCGTGATGGAATTGCACCTTGTCCACAGGTATTGTCAGGACATTGCCTCCAGCGAGTGGTAGCTGAACACGGCCGTCAACGATGGCGTCCTACACAACCCCCAATGCAAAATAGTTACTACTGTTAAATGCTTATAAAACTTAAGAGGTGTGGCCTGAAATCCAGGATCATGCATGGTTGCCCCACACAATGGGATACTTAACCAGCTCCTTGACATGTTCCAAACTATCACACCATTCACAAACAGTAGGAATTGCAGACTCTTGTTCATTTGGACATGCTTTTAATCAGCAGAATTTTTTTATCTGTTCAGGGTAGGAACAAGAAAGGTCATCTTTTATATAGCCAGGACAGTTTTTTGCTGGGAACCCACCATGCACATGTACAGATTCGGGCACATTTTGCTTATGATGCACTTAACACACAGGACCAATTTCTGCTTGAATGCAAGGTCCACGCATGTGCACCATGCACCTGAACGAGACCAGCTGGAAAACGCCCCACCAGCCTGTCTTTTCTTTGCTGGTGATTGTGCACTGTAACTCAATGTAACTTTGTGTAGACCTTGGTGATTTTCTAGTTTCCAAGACAGCGTGTAAACCTCATCTGCCACAGCAGGGAGTGAAACACACACCCTCAACCTGCAATGGTCCTCGCTGGTTTTTGTACACACATGCTGTCAGGCAGGTCCAAGCAGGTCGACTTGGTGTGATACCCTGACTTGGTCACTGCTCTAAGACAAAGCCTTTGAGAGTTGTAAAGAAGAACTTAAATCACAGCAAAGTGTATGGTGCAAATATTGTGCCAGTTATCCAAAGAGTTGCATTTGAGGATTGGTGGTAAGTATGCTGTATGCGTCCCTAAATGCCTTACCCCAGTCTTGGCTACTTCTTCTTCGGCAGCCTTCCTCTGGTCATGCTTAGCTCTCTTGACAATTTCAGGCATCACATCATCTAAATTCTCCAGTTCACGTTGAGAGAAGACATGGTCCATCAACTTACGCACAATTGCAACAGCCAGCACCTAAAATGTAACAGTTCAAGCTGCGATTATTTCCAAATAAAATTCACAGCACCTAAATTCAGTTTTGTACTTTGCTGTATCTGCTCATATTTCGTGTTAGATGGAGATTTACCAAAAAGTAATAGTCCTGTAGAAAAAAACTTGAAGAAAAATTGCAAACTCTTAAACAAGTTCGTCTTGTTGGCACCCCAAAACAAGCCTTATTTCCAATGGACTTGTTAGTGTACTTTTCCCTCACTGAACAGTGCCCTGCCAACTTGATATGCCACAAGTATGCATGGAGTAGAGTGTAGGTAGCCTGAATGGGCTACACAATCCACTTGCTGATATAACCAAATAAATGAAATATGCATGTGCAATAGTTGCCCTGGCTACACATACAATAAGGCAGCAAACATACATGCTGATGTACTTGATGAGTGTTTTAAATAAGTGCCTACAATTATAATTGTGACTAGGTATGTATGAATATATATACATGTAGCAAAACAAATATAATGTCTGATCATTTGATTTGTCTCAAGAACTTGAGATGTCGATGTCGACTATCCTACCTCAAACTATTTTATATTTGCAAACTTTCAGACTGGGGTTAAAACCCACTCCTTGGACGTAATTCTGTCATACGACTGTTCCTGGCTGTCCATGGCTGCTTTAAGCCTAACATTTGCTAAGAACAAATATCACACCCTTTCTTGGGATAACTTTGGGACCTTTCTAGTCACAGGGTCAATATATAAGGACAGCCACTGACAGAGCAAATGACTCACCATGATGGGAAACACCAGAGCTGCATCAGTTGACTTGATGACCCAGAGGATGATAAGACATGACAGCTGGATGGCTGTAAACAAATGTACTCGGCGGAGTCCAACATGACGAAGGTAGATATAATCTGGCTGGTGCTTGGGGGGCATGAAAAACAGCTGTAAACGGTCCACAAACTATAACATAGAGGAAAAATGCATCAAAGTTACATTGCATGGTTAATATCATTGCTGTTTTCATGAAGAGACAAATCTGGTTGAATATTGTCGGTTTTCACAATTCTATTTTGGGGCAAAATTGACCAGGTTTGACAATTTGGTGAAGTCATTGTAACAAATATAATGATCTCTGTCAGGAAACTTCACCTAAAATGCATTTTTCATTTTCCCAAAGGAAGAAATCAGCAGTCCACTGAAAATTACATTAGGCAATGAAGGACAAAATTCACTCCACCTAAGTTTTATCTTTTCATAATGAGACAAATTGAACTCTCAGTTTATATACAAATGTACCAGTTTAGCATTTGGCATGTGCAATGGCAACGGCATACATGTCTGTGATATAATTTTCCTCATTTGAGTTTACAGGAAGGGCCCAAATTTAGGTGCATAAATAATCGTTTATTGCATTCAAATTAAGCATTGGATAGAATAATTTCTAGCATATTCTGGCAGTTTCAGGTACATACTTAACAGATATCAACTTGGTGTACGTGCCTTGTCAGCACAATTATATGGAATTCCAAGAAAACCAACTGTACAATATTACTATTAAGTTTTTCTGGTTATGAAACCAAGGATTCCTCAAAACTCCCAAGCCACTGTGGCTCGCAAGCCTGAAGAAACTTGTAGAGAGGAGACAATGAGAAGAAGTTACAATTTTAGATGTGGGAGGAAAACTCCAGGAGAATGTTGTGGGTAAAACCCAAGGACTCAGGTAGGGCCTGCAAACTCAATCCATATGTGGACTCAGCCACAAATTGAACCCGGACTGCAGAGGTGAAAGGTGAGGAAAAAAGTACTTGATTCCCAAACATGGCTTTGCTGGAAACAACGCTTATATTTTGGAACATCAGTAGGAGTCACACATGCAACGTCTGTGGGTTTGTGCTTGTATGGAAGCAAGTTCTAGTATGTATCACACTGGATACCAGACAAAACATTGCACACACCAGAATGCAAAAACGCATTCCCATGTTGAGAAATACAAGATACAACACTACAGGGACCCAAAATGCTGAAAGTTCCCAAAACCTGCTTCAAATCTGAAAACAAGTGAACTTTCAATGTTATACAGAATTATTCCAAATACGAAATCATACCTGCACATTAGCTAATGAGGAGATACCCATGAAGAGAAAGACCCCATATAACACAGGCATTGGAATAAGCTGGAAAACAAACAGAAAAAGACTACAATTAAAAGCAGAAATCCCCCTTACCACTGACAGATACATGCAACAATGCACACAGTTAGATCCACTTAGTGCTACAACATAAACAATTTCTTGACAATTACATTTCACAAACATCCACGAGTAAGCAGGATGATAAATTCTGTCTGAAAAGCTCCACATGAATTTATGTCCTTGTATGTAGGAAAGAATGCACGTAAGTATAAGACAGTGGATACGTACCGATAAAACAGAAGTCATGAGTGTAGCTAAACCAATCAGAATGAATACAATCAATGCTGTCACTCGCTGCTCTCTATCAAAACCAATCAAACAATCACATTGAATGTTAGGAGAAAGAGAGATACAAAAACTGTTTGTGTTGAGTTGTGGAAATAGAATAATTTGTACAAATTCAACAAGAAATTGTCAAGTCCTGTATCAATTGTGCTTCAATAAGGAAGTAGAAGTGTAATGGGACGGTCTTAAATTGGCTATGATAATGGACTGAGCCAAAGATGTCCATTATCGTTGCTGGGCCCACAGCTGGTTTAAACATAGTTTAAAAGTAATCCATCACACTTTTCTCATTGATGAATACCTTTATAAATTTGTTGCAAGGAACAGTGCTTCGCTTTTATTGCTATCATTTGCTATTTTTAAACCTAACTGCCCAAAACCTGCCATACTCCAACAGCAGGTTTTGTGAGGTTTCGGCAGGTTTGGTACC